AGAGTGAAATAAGGGGTTCACCCTTTGTTGATTCTTTAGTGTCTAAAATGTCCAATGTCCATTTTCATCATTTTAACATTATGTTGTAGCACTCAACAGGCGTTTCTTCAGTAGTAGAAAAGTATGAGTGAGCCAATTTAACCAAACACTGCATACATTAAACATATTATAGATATATACAGCTCTACAGCTTCTTTATTTTTTTCTTCTTTGGAATTTGGGTCAAGTAGAAAACAACACAGATATGAATCAGTGTGACTGCATGAGAAGGCGGCTGTTTGTCAGGAATGAGCAGGTTAATAAGTATTCTCCTGGGCCGACTCTGTGAGCGGTGTGAAAAGCAAGGGCTTGGCATTTCTTGTTTTTGAGTCCTGAGTTCCAAAAGTTTGCACAAAAGCCCTGTTGCCTAGCAGCGTGTGAGGAGCCTCACTGCGACTGCCAGGCCCGCTTTGTGTGTGTGGGTCTCTGACTAAACAGGATCTTCTGGAGAATCAACTGGAATGCAGTGCGCCCCCCCCCCCTCCGGTAATCTTATTCAGTTTTTAGTCAGCAGGAGGGAGTCATTCAAATGTTACTATAGTGAATTAGCACCCTTTAAGCTCAAGTAAATTGAGGTTTTTCATGCATTGTCATACTGGGTGGAGGATTGCTTTTTTTATTTTTATTTTAATATATTGGGAGGTAACATGTTGCACCCAGAAGATCCCTCACACAACCTTGACAAACTATGCATCTTTTTGAAAGTACAAAGAGACAGCAGTTACAGTATTTTGTAACAGGACTGCTTTCAGCGCGGAACAGTCAGTCTGTAGTGGGTTTTTACCTTTTAGAAAAATAAAATTTAATAAGTCCCTCTACTCTACCTATAGCCTGTTCGCCAGTCAGTAAGGTCAAGAAGTGCCACCGGCGACTTCTCCCCTGTGCATAGCTGGACAGTTGTAACATTGTGGCAGGCATGATTCCACAGTGGAAATGTTATTTTTTACAGTTGCCTACAGTGTAATTGTCATTCCTTTTACACCCCGGAATTTATGGATATGTGAATACCTGTGCAGTTTTGTTGATTTGTTCTAAAATGTTTGGTATTTCACAGCTCTGATAATTAAATTGTTGGGTATTTGTTTTTTATTTTGGGATTCGAATATTCAGGATGTTTTGCATGCCTGACCTCCACTCACAGCAGTGAACGTAACGCTCCAGTTGATTTCAAAAGGAAAAATAAATGAATCCCTCAGGTGTGTGGGAGCACTTTAAACTGAGTGATGACATCTGCAGTGTGGCAGTTATGTCGTTTATTAATTTTACAATTGCTTTATTTCATTACAGATCAAAACAGTCAGATCATTAATGCAGGCTAAAACAAACAAACAACATACTGAACACATTTAAATAATTATATTAGACCTATTGTAGAAGAAGAATATTTACCATAAAACTTACATTAATAACCCAAATAGTCCCAAATAGCCGCCTACCCGTTTCCTGGCCTGATGTGGGAACACATTTTGACAAATACGCAGGTCTCCATTAAACACCTGGTCTGGTTTTTATAGAAGTTCTTTGGATGTATAAAACCTCTTAAACCCTGTAGGGTTGCCCGCTTTAGCTGCTTCTAAGCTGCTTAGATCGTTAATACAAATATTAATGTTTAAGCGTGATCACTATGATCAATATGTCAGTATGGACATGCTGCACATCATTAGATCGGTTAGATCCTCCACAATTCAATCGTTGTTCGTTTAGCGGAAACAACAAGACCCAAAGTCTAATTCATATAGATTTACCAGTGTAACCGGCATGGTACAAGAGATGAAAAGGAAAAAAAGAATCCTGAATCCTGTCATGTGAAGTCCATCGCTGTCCGTCTGCTAACTTCTGCCACACTTCTCTCATCCTGCACTGCGTTTTCGTCACGTTGCTGCCTTCAAAATAAAAGCGCATGAGCCGTCTGTCGGAGCTAGGTCAAATGAATGAGGTGTATTTGATATTATTAGATAATAATAAAGTAATATTCTGTTTGAAATAAATAAACTGGTTCATAATTTCAGTTTTGTGCAAGAGGAAGAGACACCTGTCCCAAATATAGGCAGGGTCAATTCAGTTGTTGTATGGGTGCTGCTCATGTATCATCCCTGGTCCAATGCACCAATCACGGTAGAGATTTTTGTGATAAGTGTTTTAATAAGCTGTTCATAATGTGGCAAATTATTTTTGACTCGTGACAAAAAAAACCCTGTAATTCTTATCCTCGTTCAACTTTTTCTGTTCCTGTTGAGAAATACACATAGGGAAATGTTAGTATTTTGTGCATTTTACTTGATAATCAAGCAAGTAGACTCATCCTTATTGTCTTGAGCAGCAACAATATTGTACATCAGTGAAATGTAGAAAGGTTGTGGGACTGTAATAGCTGATTCTTTGGCTGGACATTTGTTCCAGTGTATCAGTCAGAATGCATTTGACAGGACACCAGTATTTGTTTGCTGCATTTTATTAACTCTGTTGAAGGCACAGCAAAGCAAAATGCACTTATTTCCCTGTGGAGACCTTGGTTAGACTTGAAACTGTGGCAGAAAGTGACAGAGGTCAGAGCATTTTCTTTTTTCTAATTTAGCTTTTTATCCAACTTACAATTTCTATAGTATGTCAGAGGTCACACACCTCTGGAGCATCTAGGGGTTAAGTGTCTTGCTCAGGGACACAATGCTCGATGTGTCACAGTGGGGGATTGCTGCACTAAAGGCATGTGTCTAATTCACTGCGCCATCACCACCTCCCAGAGCATATCTAAGGTGGATTAAAATCAAGGGCAACTGGACTTTGTTGAAGATACTGAAAGATGCTCCTCCTTGCTGTTGTAACGACAGTCGCTATAGTCGTTGGAGTCATGTGAAGCCAAGTCTGAACAACCGTCATAGGCATTGTCACATGAGGCCAGATGTGAGCATTTAATTCAGTTTCCTGGGAAGGGATGAAAGTGGGGGATAAGTGGTGTCTCAGCCCTCCTCCCAGGTTGAGTGATGGTTCTCTGGTGACTCTGGTGTAGATGGCTTCTTTGACTCCTCTTTCAAACCATCTGTCCTCCCTATTTAAAAATATGTACATTGTTGTCATCAAAAGAGTGTTACTTGTTGTTCAAATGTAAGTTAACGGCAGTCTTGTGGAGGCTCCTGTCCTCTTTGATGTGGACACACAGTACCAGTCTCCGTTGTAAAAAAAAATTAACAATGATTTGTAGACAAATGGGCAGCACGGTGGGCCAGTGGATAGCACTGTGGCCTTATAGCAAGAAGGTTGCGGGTTCAAACCCTGGTCGTCCCGGCCTTTCTGTGTGTTTGCATGTTCTCTCCGTGTCTGCGTGCATCAAAAACATGTTAGGTACTCCAGTCAGTGCCAGTCCCCAGGTGCTGCACACTGCTCCCTTGAGGGATGGGTTAAATGCAGAGAATGAATTTCACATGTATGTGACAATAAAGGTATCTTCTATTCTATTCTATTCTGTGTGAAGCGATCCACAAATACACTGACCTGCAGACGCAGCTTTGACACTTGAATGCTGAGCATTACACAGAATTTGTAAGCATGTCTTGACAAGTGCATTTGTAGAGATTGTAATTTTTAAAACAGTAGAACAGTAATGTCAAAATTCTGAAAACAAATGTGATACGATTGACCCACATGCACATTTTGCATCTATTTACATTTTAACATTTAGCTTTTGGATAGAGCTGGTTTTGTTGTGTATTCAGCTCTTAAAGTAATTCCTTTTCCTCTTTGTGTACTGTAGTCTGCAGTAGTGTGTTTTCCTTGTGTTGAGCTTAGTGAGCATGGATTATCCTGGCCACGGTTCCATCTTAAATAGTAACTTTAGTATGTTTCTACCTGGATCCTATTTTCCAATGTTTCTGTCTGTGACTAATTGGGACAGCATTTTTTGAGATTGGTCCAGTATGGAGTAAGCAGTGTAACATGGTTGCAACACAATCCTGGCAGGCAGGTGCGTACTGTCCACTAAACTGCTTGTTTTTTCTACAGATAGGCTCACATTATTATTATGGTTAATGGACTGTACATGTATATCACCTTTCTAGTCTTCTGACCACTCAAAGCGGTTACACTACATGTCACATTCACACACATTCATACCCTAATGACTGGAGGCTGGTGGCTAAGGTGATCAGAAACAGAAAGTAATCATTCTCACACACACACACACACACACCCCAACGACATCTCTCCCATCTGGAGCAATGAGGGGTTCAGTATTTTCTGCAAAGACACTTCAACATTCAGAGGATCCAGGGATTGATTAGTGGGTGACCTGCTCTACCTCCTAAGCCACAGCCACCCCAGAATATTATATAATATTTAAATATAAAATGATAAGTGGTCTGACAACATTGTGGAAATTATCCTGAGATAGACTTTTTTTTAAAGAGTAAGTCCCTTTTTGTTTGACCAGAAACAGCTGCTTTATTGCTCTGTTAAAAGCCACCAGACTCCATTGACCAAACAGTAATTTTTAGATGGAACAGTCTTGTGAAACTTAAAATCTGCATCAACACTTTAAACTAAGGGAAGACTAAAGTTGATAGATGTTTCCTTTGTTTAACACATTTTCACTGCTTATGCCATTTTCTGAAGGTTATAGATAATGTCAGCAACCAGTCCCTGTACATTGATGCAAACTGGGAGATAAGAAGATCTCTTTGGGAGACTTGTGACATGCCCAATTTGGCAGGAAGGCATACCAGTTACATTGCAGAGTTGGAGATTTTATGACAAATTTATGTCTGTCTGTCAATGTACTTTCAATGTGATGAAAAATCACATGAGACACTTCAGGCCTTTTAGCTTTTAGTCACTTTACCGACAGGAGTTATGTCAGTCTACTCCATTCCCACAGGCCATCCCTCCCTGTTTTCCTGTTGGCCAGCCTACTATGAGTAGAGAACATGCTGGCTTGTTTTCGCTCCATGTGTTTCCTGTTTTCTTTCCAGCAGCTGAGAGGATGAAGTGGATGGATCCTGACAATGTGTGGAGTTTGTAGCAACAGAAGAAAGCACTGAAAGCTCCTGTTTGACACCTCTGTCTGCAGCAGAACTCGCCATGAGTTAGAGGGCATCGGAGACCATCGCCACAGCTGCCTTCCCCACCATCTGGAGCACCGTGTCCAACTGTGACAGCAGCATCATTCGCCCTGCTTCATGAGCCAGCAGGATGCGGCTGAGGTCCTCGCACTTTCCGAGCGCCTCCTCATAGCTTCACACAAGGGACAAGCTGACAATGTGGTCCAGCTTATCAACAAGGGCGCAAAAGTAGTTGTCACCAGGGTAAGTGAGTGATACAGAATGTGACGATTATACTGATGATGCTATATTAATAATTGCAGATTAATAGACTAAAAGCTATTAATCAGCACAAACCCAGGGTACAATGCAGGTTTATTTATCACTTAACAACAGGTTGTAAAGTGAAACTGAGTTTGTACCTCCCTTCTGCTACATAGCAGACACTATACATTAATATAGAAGCAATTATAAAAATGGTAAACAGAAAAACTATCATCAGTGGAGCAGTGCTGAGGATGAACTAGAGTTTAAGAGTCTGACAGCTTGGGGGGGAAAAGCTGCTCTGCAGTCTGGTGGTGCGGCAGCAGAAACTTCTATATCTCTTCCCAGAAGGCAGCAGGGTGAACAGGCTGTGGCTGGGTGGGGACTGTTCTTTAGTATCCTTTGGGCTATATAACGTATTTATATTGATAGTAGGTTATTGTAGGTAATTTTCCACCTTATTTAAGTGTTTATTCAGTGCTTGAATCAGCTCCCTGTCTCTGCTCTCTCACTGCAAACACAGCAGCCTGCCCCGCCTCTTTCTGTCTCTCCCTGTGTGTGTCTCTGCTCTGCTCACGTTCTCCATCAGCAGTACGTTTCACAGTCGCCGTGTTTAATAAACTCACCCGGAATTCCATTTTCAAATTTCTCACATGTGTATAGAAACCAACGTGGTAGTAAGTGACTGCAGTGGTGCGTTCACTGTCGCTTCGTAATGTAAAATTTCCACCTTATCTGCATCTCAAAATGTAAAGGTGTGTTCACACTGAAAGCGAAGTTAATATTCGACTCGCTTTACTCTGACATTTTGTTGTGTTCACGCACAATGCGATAAGCGAATTCTACAGTTGTATGAACCCAAAGTAAACTATTTGCTGTGATTTAATTGCAATAAACAGATCAAACTGATGCCTAAATAACTACAATATGATGCCGATTTGTTAGACATATGAATTCATGCTTTGTCAGGTCTGTCAGGAAGTCAGCAGGGCAACAACAAAATATTTATTTTCTGAATGGAGTTTGGATCGATCAGGGCTATGCTATGCTAACCTGTTGTCAGTAAAGTACAACGATAGCTGGAATAAAGTTGCAGAAACATGTTTTTTGAACTCACCAGTTAGTTCAACTTCCTTGCTTTCCTTTCTCCAAGTAATGTCCAGTTTGTCCGGTTTCTATATAAATTTGAAGTAGTAGTCAAACAGAGCTCTGGGTGCCATCCGATGCTAACAACAACAGTGGAACCGGATGTGCATGGAAGCTGCTGAGAAGCTCCAGTGAAGATAAATCAAGTTGTAATCCCAAAAACTAAAGTAAAAAGCTAATTTAATGAAAGCAGTTAACTCTGAGCTCCTCCAGCGAGTAAACGGCGTAGTTGTCAGAGCAGAATCCAGACCAACTACGGGTGTTTATTTGTCCGAAAGCTGCTCCCGTGCACTTCCCCGTTCTTTAGCAGCTCTCCGTCGGCCAGCGGAATGTCATTACACCGCTCGCCTGGACCTCTCCAAACAGCGCTCCGAAGCCACCGGTGACGAGTGTCACCGCTGATTGGCTTTCGCAACATTGCGTTTACACATTCCCTATTTTATTGTCTTCCAACTGCATGTGTCACGTGACTTTTTTGGTCCAGTCATGATTGAGGGGGCTTGCACACCTGAAAGTCCCCACAGTTCCACAGGGAGCTTTGACCAGAATGAATGAATGAGGAATGTACAGATGTCCTTGCCACTATATCATTATTATTATTACGGCATTAGCCTACTAACCACAGCATCAACTTAACTCACAACACATTCTCCTCTCAGAGCGTCAATTACCGACGCTTTGAGACAGGCTAGTTCAAATTTGCCAAATAAACGTCCTCGTTGTGCGAACATTAGGCCTATATCGATGGCGGTGTTTCGGCGTAACACCAGCATGAAAGGGGGAGAAGACTGCAAGCAATCCTCCTGCACCTCGGTTTGAGGAGAGACCATAATTGTGTCCTCATTTCAATTAGAGCCCGACTAATGTGGATATTTGGGGCCGATGCCAATATGAAAGTGAAAAAGAGCCGATTTATGAGCCGATATTTTGATTTTAAGAATGATTTGGATAGTAGACCCCTTTACTGTATAAACTACACTTAGAACAGGCCGATATTGCACTTCCTTAGCTGCACAGATCTATCCAACACAACACTGTCAATGTCGGAGACCCAGCTTAAAAAAAGTTATTAGCAAGCATGTAAGGAGCCTCGCTAATAAGGAGAGCTAAGTTAATGTAATAATACAGCTGGATTGGAGGCTAGCACGCTGTACATAGCTGGTAGTCAATATCGACGCCCCCCCGCCACAGTTACTGTCATTCTGTGGGAAACACTGCAGTCTCAACAAATGAACATGTAAACAATTGCACATCAATAAATATTTACTACTGGAAGGTGCAACGTCTGTCAACAGAGAGTGAGAGAGAATGTGTATGTGTATTTCACTTTACACATAATCTGCCATAATTTCAATGTAGCACATTCACACCTAGTTCATTCCTTTAACAGCACTCTTTAATTCTAACCAAAGCTACGTGAAACCATTTAACCACCATCGGTATAAATCATGCCGTCTAGGATACAGTGAGCTGCTGTTGCATGCATCTAATATTACACAACGAGGACCTGCAACTTTGAGTTTGAGTCAGTTATGGGGTTTATTAATTTTAGTGCTTAATTTTATTACAGATACATTTTAAAAGTAATCATTAAACTGTAGGCTACAACAACATAATGAACATCCATCCATCGTCAACCGCTTATCCTGTGTACAGGGTCGCGGGGAGCTGGAGCCAATCCCAGCTGACATCGGGTGAAAGGCGGGGCACACCCTGGACAGGTCGCCAGTCCATCGCAGCATAATGAACACATTTAAATAATTATATTAGACCGATTTGAAGAAGAACATATTGTATGCTAAAAATTTTAAAAAGTTAAGAGCGAATTTTGCACAATAACGTGTTGTTTTAGTTACTCATCTGGAAATAGCTCTCATCCCGTCTGCTCTCCTTGGACCCCTGCCTGGCTAAACTATTGCCGGATTCTGCTCTGTATATGCCGGATTCTGCTTCCTTTCTTAAGGCGTAGGGTAAAGGGCTACACGTAGGCTATGGCATAGACTCAATGCAGAAGTATAAATCAGGCCTCATCATGATTGTTAGTGAATTAGTGAAGCCAGATAAGAAAAAGATCCTGGGTATGTTGAACTTGTTTCATGGTAGAGGCCCCAGGAGACTCTTGTGTTTCTATGTAGATGAATACTGAGGATGTTATGAAAGTGGCCTTGTGGAGTTTTCTTCTAAACAGACAAAAGTTTTAACAAATTGTTTAAATTTTCTTCCACATAAAACAAATGCAAAGCAGTTTTTTTTTAATCCAAGATTGTTCATATCAATGTTTACTACCTAAGCAGCCGTCCCCTTTCTTGCCTTTGCTGGTGAATTGCAGCATATCTTGGGGTGTTACCATTACTTATAGATCAGTGAAATAGGTTGACATGATTTGCGTTACCCGGATGCACTGTGAAGTGTGCATGTGCATCCTTGTGTGCGTGCACTAGATAAACAAAACAGCATGAAAAAACTATAGCGTAACTAGATGTCAAAAACTCAACACAGAACCTTTAAAAAGCAAACATTTATAGGCAAAACAAATATTTCTGAAAGCAGCTCCCACTCCATAGCTTTTTTTCATTCAGGAGAATGATTCTTCTGGTCCCTGTCTATCTCAAAGAACTGAGTTTGGATCATTTCCAAACAAGCCAACAGACCATTAAAAGGTGAACCCAATATACTGACTGCCACTGAAAAACCAGACCGCAGAGCCACAAACAGACCCTCAGTCAGTCTGGAGACAAAAGAGGCTCCCTGCTGTTTACCTGAGCTCGACTGGTGGCTTCCCTCCAAGCTAGGCCCAGTGTAACTCAATCTGAAGACCACATCAATCAGAGAAGAGCAGAGTCACATGCAAACAAAGCACGAACCTCCAAGCACCGAGGTAATACCTGTGATGTTATGCGCCTTGTGCTGTTGTGTGGGAATACACACTTGATCTGTAATTAGACTGTTTTTAGTCTGTATAATTACAGATAAACAGAGATCATCAGGATCTTGTGTTTGGAATTTGAATAGTTACCTACATGCCAACATCCTGCTCTGTCCCTCTTAATGCAGTTCATTGTGTTGGAAGTAATGTTCAGGATGTCAGGATGTGTTGAGAGCTTTTAACCTAATCCTCACAGCGAATATTATTCTAATATCTCCTGCCTACTTTAAGCCAATAGCCAGGAGAGAATTTCCTGCTGTTGACATTCCTTATTATATGTCATATCACCCTCTGTGGTTAAGTATGGAGCATTGCTGCATTCCAACTGGTACGTTTTCCAATACCACAGAATGTTAGTATCAGTTTACATACACACACACTAACAACATCTATATTAATAGATAAAGGTTAATGCTACTCATTATATTAGCCAGGCTTTAAGGTGAAAGATTTTTTGCTGAATATGAAAGGGCTAAAAAACTCCAGAGTTTGAGGGAAGGGCTGCAACTAACAGTGAAAAATGCCCATTATAATTTCCCAGAGCCCAAGCTGACATCTTCAAATGTTTTGTCCAAGAGTCCAACACCCCATGACTTTCAGTTTATAATTATTTAAACCTAATAAAAACAGCAAATCCTTACCTTGGAGACTCAGGGCTCAGGGAATTTTGTATTTATGCTCGAAAAACAATAGAAACGATTAATGAGTCATATTTCTGCATCCGTCCACATACAGTGTAGATAGATAGAATTTTGTTTAACATTTAAAAATTACATTTATACATTTAACAGCGACATGCCTTTCTATATGCAGTTAGTCTGGATAATCTACAGACCTTGCTGCCAACAGTTTTTACAGAATTCACATGGCTGTTTTAAACATTTGTAATGTAATCTCACCAATGAAATCGTTTCTCTTGTATTGGGATGGAAGCAGAACTCTCTTCAACATGGACAAATAGAACTGAAACCATCTGCGTGGAGAACATGAACAGCTGTGCAGATTGTGCACAACTCTCTTAAACCATGGATTAAGGATTTGTTTGTTTTGGCTCGACTCATTATTGAGATGGATTGTACTCTGCAGCAGATTGTCTTCAGTCGTGCCACCGGCCATGACCAGTCTTACTTACACTGCAGCAGTATCTGACCTACTGGACTGTGATTCTGTATGTGGGACAGCAGTGGTGGGTTTCTTTACTTGACTTGCACTCTCTCTTTCTTCGCATTAGTTCAGTGGGCTGAGTTGTGTGTGTTTTGTGTCCACAGAATGGCAGAAGCCCTCTGCACTTGGCTGCCTACAAAGGCCACATTGATGTGGTGCGTATCCTGCTCAAAGCTGGCTGCGACCTGGACATTCACGACGACGTGAGTAGGATCATCCATCTGTCAGTTGCGTTGGCCATGTTTCAACTTTCATCCACTTCCAGCTCTCGCACTGCGATCCTGAATGAATTTTCAGACCCACAACAACTGTAGTTTAAAAACCTCCAGTGGCCTTAAATGAGACTCACTGACCTGCCGACTTGTGTGCAGACTGTGGCAGGAGGAGGAGCAGAGAAGACAGTGGAGTAGGGCCGGGAAGGTGCCTGGAGGATCAGTTAGAGTGAAGGCATCTGTCCCCCCCATCCTTTCTTCCCTGAACAAACTCCCTCTTTCACTGCTGCTGTTGCACTCAGCTCATTTCTTATGTAGTTTGGAATTATCCTCTCCTTAGGGCTGGAAAATAAAACAATAACAATAATTATTGCGATATAATTTTTTACTATACATTCAATACATGTTTGATTTAATTCACTTAAATCAAATACAAATTAGGACTTAATTTTTGTATTAAGATGTTTATTTTGCAGAGGAAAAAGCTTTTACTTAATTTTACTCGTGCATATTTGTTGACAAAGATTTTATCACAATTGTTTTGAATGTTCTGCCTCAGATTTGTGAAGTGATCCACTGTTTGGTATCAAGTGTTGACAAAAAAATCAGCTTTTAAACTCACAAGAAATAACGATTTGATACTTATAGTGATAATTATCGATATCAAAAGATATGAAACTTTTTATCGTGATAACATTTTTGGCCTTATCCTCCAGCCCTACCTGTCCTCCTCCTTCTCCATCCTCTTTCTCCACCATCTCTCATGGAAAGCATTGCTCACTGCTCTTTCTTCCTGCACTCTTATGTCTAACCTGACCTGCTAAGTGTCACTCACCACTAATTGGGACCATATTATCATCAGTCCTGCTTGAGTAATAAGTTGCTGAGCTTGGGAGTACATAGTGACTTTAATAAAAAGGAGCTTTCAAAACTGTCAACGTTAAAAGGGATAGTTTGTTTTTTGGAATTGTGTACTATTTTGAATATATGTTAAATGATAAGATTACCTTCTAGGTGTTTACCATCTTTATGCTAAGCTAAGGCTAACCATGTCCCTACTAAAAAACAGGAGTGGAAATTCCGGAAATAGTCAGAAAGTCAAAATATGGCAAGAAAAAGTGTCACTCTCAAAAAGAACATAGAAGTGTAGTTTCCAAATTGTTGAACTATTCCCTTACTTGTAAATTGAGACTTGATAAGTATGGAAAGCTGTACACCAGCTATTGATCTGTGGAAAAGTTGAGGGGTGTATTGCTTTTGAGCAGTTCTGCTATTGTTCCCACTAAAATGCAGTAATTCAGCTAAGTTCAAACTGCATGCACTGACAGACACAAGACTCATCTCTAATGGATTGAAAATTTTGTATCTCCATGTCAACTTTTCAACAACTGAAATTCTTTTTTTTAAGAAATAATATAATTTTGAAAAAGATTTATGAATCTTTGAGGCATGGAAATGACCCAACAAGAAAACTTTCACATGATGGAATAGTTTCCTCTATGAATGGATTCTGTTTTTTGACGCATATCGTTAATCAGTGTTTGTGTGACTGTTGGCAGGGGGAGCAAACAGCGTTACACCGGGCTGCCGTGGTGGGAAACAGTGACGTCATCAGTGTTCTCATACAGGAAGGGTGTGCACTGGATAGACAGGACAAGGTGCGCATTAAAAGACAGAAAAACACACACACACACACACACACACACACACAGAGGCTAATGGCACCGCTATTACAGTCAGTCAGAGGAACAGGGGGAATTTCAAAGCCTTCATAATGACTGCATTAATGGATGTGATTATCATAGAGAAACCAGTATGCCTGTAATCTGCTTAACCTTATTTCCCATGAAAGTAGAGTAGTCTGTTTAGAATCAGAGATAAAAGAGAAAATGTTCATACGTAGCAACGAAGCTATAGTCAGATATAACCATGAACACTCAGATTTTACCAGTTTACTCTTTACGTGCTGAAATATAGTGCATTAATAGTGTATTTTGGTAGGTACTTTATGGTACAAAAGTGGGTTACAAAAATAATTTACAGTGGTCATATGTTCATTATCAGGTTCATGATTTTATTTAGGAATTGTATATTATAATAGGCTTAAATGGTTAAATAAAAAAACACCATATTTTGTCATACTGCACATGGCTGCAACACCTCATTTCACTAGCTACAGTGTGAGCCATCTCACTTCTATTGGATCTTTGTCGGGAGTTACACATGGCCAGTACTTAGTTAAAGACTACTAACCAATCAGAGGCAGAGTAGGGCAGGTCCTGACACACCTGTAAACAGGGCTTCGGTTCAGCTGTACATGTTCCAGAACCAGCTTTGCAACCTGGACTGGTACTGGACATTTCAAAGTGGTAAGTTAATACTTTGTAAAAATACCGGTATGTAACATTTTAACTGTGCACTGAAATCCTAAGGTTTGGAAGGGAGGGTGGGTGTGAGGGGAGATGTTTCTCCATTGTTTTGAATTCATGCCACACTAGCCACCAGGCGAGCATTATGATGCGTGAGTTACAAAAGTAATGGCTGGACTACATTCCAGCTGTTTTCAGGCAGTTCAGAGCAGAGCTTTCTGTGTGAGATGGGAACTCCCTTTGGGGTGGCCTTTGGGCTTTTTCACTTTGCAAACCTGTTACTTGCACAAAAAAGATATATAACTCAATAAAGGAGAGGGGAAAAGCCAAAAAGCAGAATATGACCTCTTTAATACATTTAATAAATTTATCAAAAGCTATTATCAATGATCTATATAGTGTTTGTTTACTTATAAAAGAGCAGGCCTTTATTTAAAACATGCTTATATTAGAGACAGACCTTTATTCCTAATTCCCTTTGTGTAATAAGTATATTTTAATCTTATTTATTAAAGTGCCTCCTGTTTTTTATCTGCTTCTTTGCTGTAATGTTAAACATCTGCAGGAACTGTTGAGTGTCTTTGACAGAAGCTAAACAGCTAGCACAAAATGGCAACGTAGAAATGATTGGAAAAAAATAGTTTTTGTAAAACCTAGACACTCTGACTCTGTTGTTGTACTGACTGAATCTCATCAATATAACAATCTAATTCTTCATGGGTTCCTTAAAATCTAGAGTAACAAAGTACAAGAATCTTCATAAATAAATGTATCTGTAAGATTTGTGTTGACATAAAGTGGAGTGTATCAGTGTGGCTTTTTGTTTTTTGTCCTGTCAGGATGGCAACACAGCTCTCCATGAAGTGTCCTGGCACGGCTTCAGTCAGTCTGTTAAACTGCTGGTGAAGGCTGGAGCCAACGTTCACGCAAAAAACAAGGTAATTCTACAGTGTATTCCTGTAATTACTCCTTCAGCTGTCCTTCAGTGCTTCCTATATCTGTAAGAGAATCTTTCACACATTTCAGTACACTCGGGTGTTTTGCTGCTGCAGCCTTACTTGGTCAGCAGCATGTGACTAATGTAAGCACTTTAAATTGTCGTGTAACTGAATGAGACATTTCAGGAACTTCAGGACCCTTTACTGCTTGTTACTGTTACATTACATTTTAGCATGCCACATAGAAACATTTGAATGTTTTTTTCACAAAAGTAAAACATAACAAGTATGCACAGTTTACTGTTTGTAGTGTTGTTCCACTGATGATGTCTTTAAAGGAACTTACACCAAAATAATCTTGTCAAATAAAGGACAATTCAATGTGTCTGCACTTGTCACTTTTGGCCACTATGGCCGCTGTTCAGCAAGTGTCACAGTCTCACTTTAATGAGAATGAAAGTTCATTCTTGACCTTGGACCCACCCACAAGCTTTTCCCAGAGCTTATAAAATGCAAATTCCAATACAATCATTTAATTACCATCCAACAATCCATAACTGAGTGAATTCCGTCCATTGATCCTTGATATGCAATTGAAAGCTAATAAAGATCATATTTCTCCATATTACTTAACATAAATAATTTATTTACATTTAAAAAAGCAAAACTTATTGTGTATAAATTCTAGTTAGAGACTAATAACAGACCTGTCAGGATAGCTTTTTTAGTGTGTTTAATAGTTTTTTACAGCACAAAATTATTAATTACAATTATAGACTGAAACGGATAAAAGTATTCAGCTCAAAGTTTCATTATTTATGCATTTCTACATCTGGCTCATAAATTACATCTGTAGACACGTGATCTTTTTCTGTTTTTTCTTTTTTACACTCTCTCCCTCTTCTTCATGTCTCGCTTTTTTGTGTCTCCCATGGTGCCTCACCCTGTTCTTATCATCTTCTTCTCCTCTCTCTTTTCTCTCGCATCCTTTCCTTGTCTCAGTTCAATTTGCTGTAGTAGTGTGATTATCAGATGAGGGGTGTTACAGTACGAAAGTATCCAAACACTGAACTTGAATAGGGTAATAAAAACACACAAATGGTATGTGTAACAGAAAAAAAAACACAGACCCTAGTCTTGATGACTCTCTGCTCCTTCTGGTTCCAGGCAGGAAACACAGCTCTCCACCTTGCGTGTCAGAACGGTCACTCTCAGAGCTCCAAGGTTCTGCTCCTGGGAGGCTCCAGGCCTGACAGCAAGAACCATGTAAGTCTCCAGCAGAGCTCTGATAGGTACTGCTGCTGCTTGAATCCCTGCCTGAGGTAATGAGGATGCAGAAACAGCCTGCAGTTATTCAGACACTCAAGGCATCTTCCACTTCTCTGTCTTAAAGATAGCACATTAATACATCACTTTATAACTGCTGCTTTTCCATGTAATTATCATAAACAGAGAAGATCAAGGTAAACACAAAGGCCAGCTTGGCATCCGTCCTGCGTCTGCTCTTTTAGCTCACGCCAATGAGTAAAAGCCGGTCCCATATTTACTCTTGTCCGATCATTTGCTCGTCACTCTCTTTCTCTTCCTTGTTTCCTCTATCAACATCTTCGGTCTCTTCGCAGCCTCTGCCATGATATCTATACTGAGAATACCGAGCTGGCTTCCTCCAAAGAACTAACATTGTACATACAGTATATGCTTTTTGGCTCTTCTTATATCTTGCTCAAGAGTTGAGTTGGTGCTGTAAAGCATTTATGTTAAATGTCCTGCCCCAGATTCCAGTGTTACAGAGCGTGGTAGCTTAGGGCTAATGACGAGGCACCATTCACCCTATTTCTAGTCAGTAGCATCAAAATGATTTTTAAACTGTTTTTTAAGATAAAATAAATACATTATCTTGCTTTAATATGTAGTCAGCCCTTGTAAGCATTAAGACAGGTTTACTAACTCAAGAATAGCAAGACAAGGGAAGGAATAATCTCGAAAAAATATCACGTTCAAAGCAGTAAAACAAAAACTTGATCAGTATGAAATGATCAAAATCAGAGGGGTAAGGCATAGTGAGGAGAAAAGTAAATCACAGTGGCCACAGCAATAGGATAACACAACCCAAGGGATACAGTGATACTCAATCCAAAACATAGGTATGTTAAGAAGTAGGGGAACAAATAGAAAGCGCAAGTAATAAGAAGCAGGATGAGAATTGGCCACAGTACACTATTAATTGCAGAAAAAAAAATGTTTTAAATGTAATTGAATTCTTCATTCTCATATTAAACTCTTGTAAAAATCTCATAAAACTGATCTTTAAACATTTTTTCCAGGCAGGGGATACGTGCTTGCATGTGGCGGCCCGCTACAACCATGTGGCTATGATCCGCATCCTTCTGGGAGCCTTTTGCTCCGTGTCAGAGAAGAACCTGGTGAGTTCAAGTAGGTATGTCTGTAGGGTACTCTGTACTACAGGACACGCCTAGTACATGATATGCCCTCGAAACATTCTCAGTGTGGTTAGGTGTAGGCACCAAATCTATCCAATATCCAGTAACTAATTGTCCTTAGCAATCATTTTGATCAAAACAATTGAACATAACTTAGTCAGCGTCTAGTCAATGTATTTAAAAGTTAACAGCTCTCGTTCTCTAGGATGAGCAGTTTTTAAAGATTCTTTCTTCCTCCTTTATATACCTCAAAGTGGTTTGGTCTGCTACCTACCTTTTGCAGACCCTCAGTGACTTGTTCTAAAAAGCGACTAGCAACAAATCCAGAAAGTTACACACAAGTCTATTATATTGTAGGCTAACTTATTCCCATGCATGCTGCTCAGATTAATCTCAGGTAGCATCTCTTCTGGCAGCAACACAGCGTCTCTCCTTCTCCTCTCGCACCGTGCGCCTGCATGCAGGAGTGAGAGGATATCAGGGACCTACTTTTTCTTTCTGTTTCCTGTTCTTTCCCCTCCTGGTGTTTGACTCGGTCACCTCAGCGTTTTTGCAGAGGAGGAGTGAGGAGTGTGTTATTATGGTTACAGGGACACTCTGAAACTTTGCGACAACACAGAAGGAGAACAGGGACAAAGACAGCACAGGAGGTTAACAGGCAGGCTATACAGAAGGAGGACAAGGTGGGGTGGAAGATGAGCAGCAGACTTTGTAGTAATGAGATTGTTTAGTTTTGCTGTTATTTTCCCCAGTAAGAAATGAAATATCCAGCCTTGGATAGATTTAGGAAAAGATCATTGTTTCAGTTAACTTCCTGAATGAATGTACTTAATTTAGTTTAGGGGTGTGTAGTCTGTGAGACTGCAGATAGATCTTTCTTACTAGCCACTTTGGCACAGGACTATAGATTTTAACTTTTTTCATATCTGGCTTGTAAAAGTGGCTGGTGTATTTTGGAATTAATCTGCCAATCTGACCCGAGGAAGAAAGAGTTAAATTTCCATATTTATTTCAATATTTGATACACAATTATTTGTCTAGAATTTAACAAGATCTAGATCTAGTTTGTTTTCGTTAATTGTGGGTTATACAGTTAAAATGTCTTGTAGTTTTAAATATATAAAGTGTCCACTCTCACATCACCATCTCTTGTTCTGTGTTTGTGTATGTGTAGACTGGGGACACACCGCTACATGTGGCAGCTGCTCTGAATCATAAGAAGACCGTACGCCTGCTGCTGGAGGCTGGGGCAGACAGCCGCATCTGCAACAATGTGAGTGTCCATGACCTCCTTCTACATCATTGATGCTCAGAGTGTTTCTGCATTCAGCCTTTCTTTATCTTTAGGTCGGCACACATTTCTGTTGTGTTACCAATCTCCTCTTGAGGGATTCTTAAGCAGCACACTGTCCCAGCCTCCTGCATATATTTAAATCCGCTCAAGGCAACATTACGCATTAATAGAAGCCATAGGTAACTGTTGAAAACTATTCGTATTTTTATCCTAAAAATAACAGCTTCAAAATCATTTTTATGGTAAACTGACTTGTAATAGGGTGAATGGCGTCTCTGTCATGGACTCTCATTGGAACGACATTGGAATCCCGGGCAGGAAATCTATAACGGCAACTACATAATGCTTTACGGTACCACATTAAACACCGAGAAGACTCTTCAGCAAGCAAGCTATAAGAAGAAGCAAATAGTATAGAATTTGCAATATAGGTTCTTTGGAAGAAGCTAGCTCAGAATTTCAGATATCAGGGCAGAGGCTGTGAAGAGACTGAAGAAGATCTTGACGGAAGAAGCGAATAAGATAAAGAGAGGGTGACCAAGCTACCGTAAAATAACAGCTGGTGGAAAGCGGCACCAGCAACAGCCAGGCTCAGCAGCCTCAATGGACATAACGTGAGCTGATGGCAGAGACAAATAGAACAAAGAGCATGTTGACAGAATAAGCTAAGAGAAGAAATGGAGAGTGACCAAGCAAGATGCTGCTGGTCATTATAAACAACATAAAAGACCACAACCATCTCTGAACGCACAACACATCCAACCTTGAAGCAGATGGGCTACAGCAGCAGAAGACCACACCGGGGGCCACTCCTGTCAGCTAAGAACAGGAAACTGTGGCTACAAATCACACAGGCTCACCAACACTGGACAACAGAAGATTGAAAAATGTTGCCTGGTCTGATGAGTCTCGATTTCAGCTGCTGCATTCAGATGGTAGGGTCAGAATTTGGCGTAAACAACATGAAAGCGTGGATCTATCCTGCCTTATATCAACGGTTCAGGCTGGTGGTGTAATGGTGTGGGGGATATTTTCTTGACACACTTTGGGCCCCTTAGTACCAACTGATCATTGTTTAAATGCAACAGCCTACCTAAGTCTTGTTGCTGACCATGTCCATCCCTTTATGACCACAGTGTACCATCTTCTGATGGCTACTTCCAGCAGGATAATGCACCATGTCACAAAGCTCAAATCATCTCCAAGTGGTTTCTTGAACATGACAGAGAGTTCACTGAACTCCAGTGGCCTCCAGTCACCAGATCTCATTCCAATAGAGCACCTTTGGGAAGTGGTGGAACGAGAGATTCTCATCATGGATGTGCAGCCGACAAATCTGCAGCAACTGCGTGATGTTATCATGTCAATATGGACCACAATCTCTGAGGAATGTTTCCAATACCTTGTTGAAAGTATGCCACGAGGAATAAAGGCAGTTCTGAAGGCAAAAGGGGGTACTAGTAAGGTGTACCTAATAAAATGGCCAGTAAGTGTTTTAAAGTGCCTTTCCTGATTTTAGTTGGATTTTAATTATTAGCCTATTTTTCTTTTAACTGTATTTTAATTTCATAACTTTATTCCTGCTTTTAGCATGTATTTTATTTTGTTGCTGTGTTTTATTTAGTTTGCTCTTGTGAAAGCACTGTAACATTGTCTTTGCGCTATAAATAAAGATATTATTATTATTGTTAGTATTATTGTATGTTTTAATGCCTACTGCGTAGCGGTCACAAGATTTTCTCTGTTCTGGATGATGAAATGTTATTTGGTGCAAATGACAGATAAAATGACTTCAAATTGGCGAGAGCCAGTGTAAAGTCGTGGTTTGTTGAAAGGAAAAAAACTGCAAAACACGGACATTTTATTTGTTGGACTAGTAAGTAATACCTTATTAGCTAGTTTGCTGTATTGTGTTGTTGCACTGGCTTGATGTTTGGCTGTTTTGATCATAAGTAATGTCCTTATTTACGACAGCAGGGAATTACACTGAAATGGTAGGGATGCCAAATCTTAACCAAATCTTACATAATGCTGCTTTCCTCTAATTTGATGTTGGGAACACATCACATTCATGTTCAGTAATCTGGCTGCTCTGATCACTGTAAACATGAAGATGCTGCTTTTTCACTTTCTGTCAGTTAAAATGTCCCACCACTGTCCACAGGTGTAAGGTCATGTTGTGATAAAGTCTGGTCATGCAAGTTAACTTACAGAAAAGTCTTGCCTGTTATAATTTTACCATAAGTTGACCAGGAAAAAGTGGTAGCAAAAGCCTCTACCACTATTTGAAACTTATTCCTTGTTTGTTTGAGTCACGTTGCCACTGACCTTCCTGTTTGTATGTGTTTCTGCAGGCAGGTCAAACATCTTTGGACCAGGCCAGAGAGCACAACAACCCAGATGTGGCTCTTCTACTGACCAAAGCTCCACAGGTAAAACCAGAACCTCACCAGTACAAGCAGCCATAAACAGATAAACACAACTCACACTTAGAGATACATTTTCTGCTCATAAAGCGCCTCCAAACTCTCCTTGACTCAAACACTTTGTTAGCAGGCTACATTTGGTTAGCTGTGTTGTTGTTGAGTGCAGAATCGGTAGGCAAGAGGCTCGCTAGCGCACATGAATATCACAGCCTACGCAATACAATGGATTTTGCAGAAAATCCAACCCAATTTCTTCAGATAGAAAGCAGCATAGAGGCTGTCAGTGTTAGGGATGTGTGTGGTGAAGCAGGTGTAGGACCCAAACGCAGGACGCACGACTGGCAGGTATAGTTCAACAGTTTATTTAACAAAAGGCGAGCACACTTACAAGTAGTGGCTTTTATCCAAAGTGAAGTCCACAAGGGCAAAGGAAAACACAAATTCCAAAAACAGGGTTCAGGCAGAAATCCAAAAACAGACTGAGCTTCTCCTCACGACAGACATTCTGCAACACAAGGTATAATGACCCAACAAAGACAAGACAGAAACACCAGGTATATATACACAGGGACTAACGAGCAGGACGGGAGCACACAGGTGATACTAATGGGATTAACGAGACACAGGCAAAGACAAAGAATAAAACACAGGACCAACAGTATACGCTAAGACACGGATGAGAATGCAGGACATAACTAGAATATGAGACAAGACAGATACTAAGAAAACTTAAAGCCAGTGAACCAAAATAATAAACTAGACTACAAAAACTCCAAACCATGACAATATCAAATAACCACAGGAAAAACAACAGCACAAAACCAAATCCTAACAGTACCCCCCTCTCAAAGGACGTCCCCAGACGTTCTTAAACAAAACCCACCCCACAAAACAAAGACCCTAGCCAGGGTGGGCGGAGGGAGGACAGGAGGAGGAACATAATCCATGAACACAGAAAAAACTAAACAAAACACACTGTCGAGGAAAGCAGGGACAAAAACAGCGGGTGGTCTGGGATAGAGAGGATATCAGGTGGGCGGCCTGAAGCCAGAGTAGGGGGGCCGGTCTGGGATAGAGAGGATATCAGGCGGGCGGCCCGAAGGCAGAGCAAAAGGGAACCAGAAGGGCTCAGGTGGGCGGCCCGGAGGACGACCCAACAAGCCGGGCAGATCAAGGGGGCAACAGAGGTCAGAAGGTTGTCCCGGAGGACGACCCAGCAGGCCGGGCAGATCAGGGGAAAAACAGAGTTCCGGAGGTCGACCAAGCCAGCCGAACAGGTCACGAGGGCAACACAGTTCAGGGGGATGTCCTGGAGGATGACCAAAAGAACAAAGGCTCACCTGAGGCCAGACAGGTGACCGATGAAGGCAAGACCTCTCCGGAGTATGAACTGAAGGTCGGCGGCGGGGTGGCGAGACCTCTCTGGGGCCTCAAGTGGCAGAGCAGGACTGAAGGCCAGCAACTGGATAGCTGGGCTGAGGAACAGGAATCCATCGGACCGCCGGCGGAGTCGTTGCCGGTCGGACCACTGACGGGGAGCCAGGAGCGGGGGTGGGTCCAACCACTGGTGAAGCTGGTGCTGATTGAGGCTGCTGGTGGCGGGAACCATGATGGCCACGTCTCCTCCCAAGGCCACCACGGAACCCAGGGAAGATGACCAGGCGAGTCCCCTCAAACGAATGCTGGTGGTCTGCAACGTTTGCTGGCCAGGAGGCAGTCTGATCAGCAGGAGAGGGTGCAGGCTGTGAAGTAGGCTTGTGAAAGGTAGCTGGTGGTGGGGCCTTTCGGGAACTCTCAGTCTTAGCAGCACAATTAGCCAGAAAAGTCAACAGAGGAATGAGAGTCTCCGAGTCTTTGGGGTGTGGTGAATCCCCCTGCACAGGGGAATCCAGTGCGGACAGGTGGCATGACAGGCAGGTAGGGCGCTAGCCAGAGCAGGGTGGTGGCTAGCCGCCGGGGCGCAAACAGGCTGGGTGCTAGCCGCCGGAGCGTTAGCAGGCCGGGAAACAGGAAGGTGGCTAACCGCTGGAGCGCTAATTGGCTGACTGCTAGCATGCTGGCTAGCAGGCCGGGAATCAGAGGACCAGGCGAGCAGGACTGGTAGCTAACTAGCCACCGCAGCGCTAGCCGGAACAGGCAGATGGCTGGCCGCTGCAGAGCTAGCAGGCTGGGAGACTGGCTTGTGGCTAGCTGCTTGAGCGCCACCTCGGGAGTGTCCAGTATCCGCTCCAGGTCTCTCTTCATCCGTCTGATGATGACCAACTGCTCAGCCATGGAGGGGAGATTCAGCAGCCTTGGCTTGCTGCACAGTGTCTTCTCCATGAGGCCATAGACAAACAGTCTGCGATTCAAGTCCGTGGAATCCAGGATAGAGGACCCTAACCTTTCGCAGGTCGAGGTCCACTCCCTCATTCCTCTGCCAACAATACTAGGTTCGCTGGGTCCATTTCTGGTCGGGTCATTCTGTTAGGGATGTGTGTGGTGAAGCAGGTGTAGGACCCAAACGCAGGACCCACGACTGGCAGGTATAGTTCAACAGTTTATTTAACAAAAGGAGAGCGCACTTACAAGTAGTGGCTGAATCAACAACAGCACAAAACGAAATCCTAACAGTCAAAGGTATCCGCGAAAGCCGGTGCGTAGTTAATTTGTATGTGAGGTTACAACCTGTTCACAAATAGGCCATAAAAAAGTGATTAATTTCAATAAACTATACTTGAAACAAACGGCACGCAATAATGGAAAGCAATAGTGTTAGTTGTTTTAGTGTATTTGCTTATATGAATAATGGAAATAATCCACAATATCTGTGGCCACTAGATCATTTTTTTAGCAGGCAGTACAAAATAAAGTACATATTTATGGAAAACCTTTAAAACCAGCTTTAGGTCTTGCTCTTTTATATTTTTTCAATGTCCTGAGTACATTTCCAGGAAACTTCCACACTTAATGACAGGAAACTGCCCTACCAAACCTTTCCCTCCTCCTTGTGAACACCAGTAAAAACTGAAAAGTAAGACCTAATTAGTTATGACTTGTGGTGTGCATAAAAAATTATGTTTACTGTATGTACCCTCAGGGATCAATATTCTGCTGTTTTATTTTATTTACTAAGCATACATGGCAATTCCACTGGATTACTGTCACTTTGTCTCCTGTGTGTGTTCAGGTCCAGAGTTATGTGCGTGGCAGGAGAGTGAGGAAGAGGAGAGACAGGCTGAAGGCGGAGGGCAGAGCTCAGTCGGTGCCCAGAGATGAGATGCTGCCCTGTAAGGTAAAAACTGGGTTGTTGTGTCAAAGCAATTGAAATGATGAATGTTGATGGTTCAGATCGCAGAATTAAGGGAAAAGGGAAAAAACTAAAAACCATTAGATGAGAGAAAGGTGAGTGAGAGAGTCAGGAGGAGGGATCTGAAGAGAAGCACTATGGAGGAGAATAGAACAGAAGGTTGAGGAATAAGAAACCTTCTTTAGATCTCACTCTCTTTTATTTTTACAATGTCCAGTGTGCTTAAACATTTCCAGGAAACTTCGCTACCAAACATTTCCCTCCTTCTGTTCCCTGCAGGACAGTGCATCTGCTGCAGATGACACTCAGAGCAGCGACCGAGCTGCCTGCAAAAACGCTGAGGTGACCGAGTCAAACACCAGGAGGGGAAAGAACTGGAAACAGAAAGAAAAAGTAGGTCCCTGATATCACCTCAGTTTGAAAAACAATCTAATCTACTGATGTTCATTTAAGAATAGAGCGTGGTTTCTAGTCGAAGTTCTGGACAGAGGAAGGCAATGAGTAGCACTCTCCCCTTCTCAGTTACTGTTAGATATGTACAAGGTTATATAATAATTAGGCCTACTAACCTTGGCTGTTGTTGATGTTTCAGCCGTCTTTGTCTGACCCCCTCCGCCGCAGAGAGACCAGGCACAGCGAAGCCTTTCACAAGAGGAAAGGCAAACTGCAAGGAGCTTCCCTCCATGCCTCCATCCCACCACACAGTTACAAAGCCTATCAGCTCTACACGCTGTACCGCGGCAAGGATGGCAAGATCATGCAGGTAACACTCCCCTATGAATCAAATAATTTATTTGTCATTTTACAACACAGGGTTGCACATTGAAATTGTAGTCTCTTCATGCTACACATACAGAAAATACAAATATTATTTAGAATAAAATAATACATACAGAGTGCTTCGCTTTTAGCCTTGTAGCTAGTGATGGTCAAATGAAGCTTTCTGAAGCTTCATTAGACCAGGCAGACCATAGACCCTTGGGTGGTGTCCACACTGTCCAAGGTATACACACTACAGTTCCAACGGCCACCTTTCTGCGGGATAAGAAGGTCTGTGGTCAAAGATACTGCAAAATCCCTGGCCCTCAGCCAGGAACTTGCAGCCCTTCTAGAGAAGGACGCCATCGAACCTGTAGAAGGGCATACACGGCTCGGTGGGTTCTATTCAGTGTGTTTTTTAATTACGAAGAAGGATGGCGGGTTTCGCCCAATCCTGGACCTGAGGGGGCTGAACAAGTTTTTAGGTCTGCCCCCATTTAGGACAGACAGAGTTGAGGTGGTTGTCTGCTGCCCTAAAGGCCACTGCCAAGGTACACAAGTCTGATAAGCTTTTTGTTTGCTATGGGGGTTGTAGAAAGAGTGAAGCTCTATCAAAGCAGAGACTTTCCAATTGGATTGTGGATGTGATTCTGCACGCTTATAAGTCGCAAGGCCTGCTGGCACCTAGTAAGGTTAAGTGGAATGTTATTCGGAATGTGTCAACATCCTGGGCATGACATCTGTACTGCCACAAGCTGGGAGTCTATTACCGGGTAAATGTGGCTGCTCCCCATGCGGTGGCAGCAGCCGTCCTGTCAACTGCTTCCACTTCTTAGCACGGTGAGCACTCCTTAGCACGGTGAGTATGTAACTACGGTTCTATGAAATCTGGATGACCGCCAGAGTTGTCTGTCACTCGGAATCTGGGCGAGAAGATTCTGTAGGAACAGATTGCATGATGACTTGAGGGTTTTATGCTGGGGCGTGCGCCCTACGTCATCGCATGTTCACAGGTGACTTTGTTGGTATAATTACTCGACCTGCGCAAATGCGAGATGGAGACATCCAGTGCTAAAGCCCCACCGTCTGGCGGTCATCCAGAATTCATAGAACCGTAGTTGCATTCGTAACTCTCGTTTTCAGTTTGTGGTGTATTTTCACTGAAGATGTGAATGAGGTGCCACTAAAAAAGATGGGGCCTTCTTTGGGTTTAACTCAGATTTTGTGGTATCTCAGAGCTGGCTCATTTGCTGGCTCTGGAGTTAACTTCAAGATCAAACCCTGCCAACAACCTGACTACTGACCAATCAGTTCATCAAAACCAGTCCTACTGGATTCTGTAATGGACAAATGTACCGAGTTTACAACAAATAGCCAAGTAATACAGAGCAATATAATTTTTATACATTAGTAAAATCCCTTTGAGATAGATTGTGTAAGATGTTTAGCACAAACTTGTGCCCATTGTTAGCTTAAACGAGCCTTTAACAAACTGATGAAAAGTAATCATGAATGGAGCAACATTTATTTCTTTTCTTCAACATTATTTTATTTTTTGGGCATTTTCACCTAAATTGGCACTGCACGGCAACAGGGCACTTCCTTTTTTCACACGATCAGGCTATCTTCTCCTGTCTGCTTTGCTTTATTTATCTATAGTCATTCCACAACCTATAAAGGTCCTTACTCACACATATATAGACCGAGCCTTACTTTTAATAATTTGGATATAATTTCTAGTGTATAGCATCTTACCAGCCGCAACCAGACTGGAATATGTTGGCCCTCGCTGTCTGATCTTCTCGATCTATCGACAGTTATGAATAAAACAACTAATTGTTTTAATTTTGTCTGTTATATTTATTTATTTAATCAATTCTTTAATTGTGTTTGAATATAATTTTTTTGTCCTCACAGTAACTACATTTCCCCACATGTATCACTCTTTCACCTCATGTCCAATGAAGTACTGCACTCATGTTCTGATCCTGTTGTGAAAACATCTAAGCTGATAATACATGGAGTAACTTTTAAAGCCATGTTGCTGGGCAATGTTGCCATCAATGGTAATGAGTAAAGATTACTACCGTAATACCCTTCCCACACCACTCCACCACTCGCCCCGCCACTATCCATTCAAAACATAGTCAGACTTGCTACCAGCAAGATTGCCCAGCAACACTGCTCAAAAAGTTGCCCCCATGTATCATCGGCTTTACAGCTGGACCTGACTGAACCAGTAACCAGCTTTGTATTATTGGCCATCCAGGATCACCAACGTTAGGCTCTGGTAAAGAAAGAGAGCCAGAGTGAGTTCAGTTTGCTTTGTGCTACAGGCCTCTGATGTTGGGCTATTTTAAGACACTACTAAAAACTCTTCCGCTGAACTTGAACACTAGTTGAACACTGCTTTTCAGCTGCAGTTGCACATGCTTCCCATAACAAAGAAGTCAATATGTGAGGTATCACTAGTTAAAAATCTAAATCTTTCAGCTCAACAAAAAGATCAGTAATTAAATTAAAAGGCTTCAGTGAAACATTTTGCAGAGGTCTTACCATTTTAAAGTCCTTTGACCAAGTTTTAGATGTATATAGATCTACTACAATGATCCAACACACTGGACTGGACCTAATAACGGCCATGAAAATTCAGACACACAAAATACACATTTTAATACACATCCCACATGTTGCAATCCTGTGCAGAAAATCCTTAAATACATTTTGTATTAACCTGCTATCTTTAGTCCCTTTTCTGTCATTTTGCCAGCACAAAGCCTTCCTGTGACCACACAGTATGGACAGGGATGTGTGTGTTGTGTGTGCTGTGTTGTTGATGTTTGCAGTGTGTTGCAGGCTCCTCTGAACGGCTGCCGCTGTGAGCCTCTCATCAGTAAACTGGAGAACCAGCTGGAGGCCACCAAGGAGGAGATGAAGACTGAGATCCACACCGTCCAAGACCTGATGAACAGCAAGATGGGCCAGCTGGACCGCAAAAACAAACACCAGGTAAAATACACATGCTTGCACAGAGTGGTTTAAACTGCTCACATACAGGCAGAGCAACACTTGTGGGGGTCAGGGATTATCAGGGAAAAGTCAGGGATTATCCAGAGAGGTTTCTTTTTCAGGAAAAGATGCGACAAGAGGAAATCAGGAAACATGATTTTAGAAGAATTAGAAATACTGTCCTCTGAACTGTCACCTGAAGCCACGTTTGTTTGTGGTTCAACTGTCAGTTGGCTTTAACAGCTCAACGTCTTGTGATGGTTTGGAGTTTGTATTCATCTACATATGCAGTGGCCAAATAATAATAAGGGTACACAGTTGCTTCAGCACTGTTTTCAGTGTTTCAGTAACTAACATCAGTACTTTTGTTTAAATCCTGCTGTTTTAGCCTGATGTGTGACAAGGAAATGACAATAGACAAATAAATCAGTGAAAGACAACAGACTATACATAATGTGTTTCTGGTTGCTCATGATGTGTGTGACCTGTGGTTTTGCCGTCAGATCCGAGCTCTTGATAAGATGACCGTGGAGAGAGTGTCAGCGGAGAGCAGCAAGTGTCAGCAGAGGATCGAGCAGCGGGCCCTGCAGGAGAGACTGGAGGCAGAGAAGAGACAGGTTCATTAACACTAGCACCTGCAGCTGATGAAGTCCTCACTGAGGTGTTGGGACTGACCCATAACCCTGTCAGCACAACACATAATGTTTACAGTGCCGTTTAAAAGTTGCATATCTCTATATTTCATTTTTCATTTTAAAATGAATTTGGTCGAATGTTTGTCTGAGATCTATACCTGTGTTTTCTATTAGACCAAACCAAATAAGACAAGTAAAAATACAAGGAAATGAAAAATAGGCTGTAAGGAGCACCTTGTTAGCCGAATGGTTGCAACGCATGCCACGTGACCAGATGGTCATAACAGTCGCTGGTTAGATTCCAGGCTGGGACCTTTGTTGCAACCAGCCTCACCTGTCACTATCAAGCAAGTAAATTAAAAGATGTAAATATTAAATAAAATAATATAATATTAAAATATGTCAATGGTTTTGCGTATGTGACCTCAGTGTTGTCTGCTTACCGTAAAACTAAGTAATAGCCTTGAACTCACCCTGCCTATATGGGACAGGTTTTTAATTGCTTTACTAAGCCTGTAAATCTGAATGAATTATACTTTGGTGTTCATTGTGAAATGAACTAAATGATTTAATTGTGGACAATTTAGCTGATCTAACAGTGTGTAGTCCATCTTGTCAAAAGTTCATGTTGGTATGCATGATTTGAGCAGCTTAGAACCAGCTCAAGCTGGTGACCTGTGGGGTTTAAGAGGTTTTATACGTCCAAAGAAGACCAGACGTTTAATCGAGCCCTACGTTTATTTGTCAAATCATGTAGCCACACCAGGCCAGTAAAAGGGAGTCCCCCTTTTTGGGTACTGTGTTTTACTTCCTGATTTAGAGGAGTTGGTGCTCAAACAGTTTGTAAATCCATGTTAAGACCAATGCTGGTCCGGTGTATGCGTGCAGCTGGTATGTGTACATGGTCAAGAGAGGATTGGTTGTGGACTACAGCCTCCCATGGATCAGACCTTAGGAGCCTTGGTGTAACCCACTAAGTCTGTCTTGGGAAAGCAGAACTAATGTCTGATATTGTACTAGCTCGCGCTCGTGAATAGGATATTAATTGTTGCTTATAAATGGCATTAATGGACGCCCAAACCCTGGATTCCACGCTAAGGTATTGTCCGAGTCCCACGGCAGCTTGTTTCTTTGTGAATTGTTGAACCATCACAGAAATACACGTTGTAATGTTAGCGTATTGTGGCGACCAGCGCACACACCTGCCTCTCACACCACACACACACTCATCCAAATTGAGGGAATATATGTGGCTGAATTTCAAACCAAACTCACCAGCGGAAGAGGCCCAGTCCGTCCTGAGTGACAGCCAGTGCGCTGCTTACCAGCAGCACCAGCCGAGCAACTGGAGGTAACTCCGGTGTTGTTAGCCAACTTTTGTATTAAAACTATGTTTTGTCTGCTTGCTGGTATTTGTTGAGATATGGACTCTTGTGGAGCACTGACTGGACAATACTCTGTGGGGAATTTTGCGTTTCTTGTCGTCTGTTGGTGTGTATATATATGTGTGTGTGTGTGTGTGTATGTATGTATGTATGTGTGTGTATATATATATATATATATATATATAAACATTGAATGTCAGCATTATTTACACTAAGTGATGCCTAAATGAGCTGAATGTTATTCCTTCCTTCATTTCAAAAGTGGCAGATAAAATTACTGAGTGGCAGACACAGTGACAGCCAGGCTGGAAAAAGTTAATTTTAGACACTGCCTCTGGAGACCTGATTCAGTGCTTGAGGGATGTTCATTGTGGGTAGGGGTAGGGTTATTTTACAACACTGAGGAGTCTCTGCAGTCAGCTCTGAAATATGGCTCTGAAGAATATTTTCATTTAAATGAACATTTATTAGATAGTGGACAGTATAGAAGCAGACAGTCAATGAGGGGGGTATGGCATGCAACAAAGTCCCCCAAAGAGCGGACCACATAATTCTTTATAAAAAGCTTCACTTGTCAAAAACAAAATTTACTAAGTAGGTGCACTTTTGCTCTTATTGAGAAAATAAAGTAGCAGCTAAATATAATTTTCTTTAATGTACTTTCACAAATATCCTGACAATTAAATTAAGTTCAATGTTTTTCATAAGACAAATACAGGGTTGGTTAAATCAGCACCAAGCCAACATTGTATATCACATGTAATCTAAAGATCATGACTTCAACTTTTCCAAGCATTTCTTTCCTTTCCTTTCAATAAATGTGACATAATGTAATAAATGGTAACCTCTTGTATGTGGTTGGATCTGCCCTTTAAGCAGGCGTCCCTGGTCAGTGAGCTGAAGAGCTGGTGTCTGTCCAAGCTGCAGAACATGGAGGTTCGCTTCACAGTAAACCCAGGCAGCCCCAGGCTTCAGCGCTTCTCCTCTGTGGCCGAGGGCCTGAATGAAGTCGATGTAGCCGGCCTCACTGTGCTGCCTTCTGGCCAAGAAAGCAGCTCCCAGTGCCTAGACCTCCACCACAGCCCTGCCTTCCTAGAGTCCACCCGGGGGGAGCCCAGTGTGGCAGAGGATGGCTCAGCCAATCACTACTTTGTTGTTCATATGGAGAGCTCTCCAGGTAATACCTCAACAAACTGCTTACACAGCCGGTTCTGTAAATCTAAACATGGATTCTCAAGATACATACAGACAGAAGGATTCCTTCCTTTAGAGTTAGTTGATGCAAGAAACATGTCATGGTCACTCAGACATCATATCGACACATGTCCACTGAATGTGGTTGCAATAGCATCTAAGCCCTGCCCATTATCCTGGAACCAGACAAATATCCCGAGCCCAACTGTTTATCTAAAAGGAGCAGGTTTTATACGATGACTGATAGAGGAGCGTCACCAGTACAGATTTGAAAAGTCACACGTTTTGCTGCTTTGATTGGTTGCAGTTCTTGTCGGCCCTGTACTCTGTTGGTCCATTGGTTGGTCAATTCAAACTGCCTGAAATGTTTTCAGAAACACATCTTAGCGTACTGCGTAGCTATAATTTGAGAAAGTGAGCACCACCCCAACTGATCGGTTGTAGGTCTATCCAATTAGGTTCAGAGGCACTTTGGTCTGCGCCCATTGATAACGCCCCTTGGAAATCAAAAGTTAATTGAGAGGTTCCAGACTAACAAGCATTTGTAAATTAGTCTGGCAGTGCCAGGCTACCTGCACACAGCAAACTCTGATACTTTCACATCTAAACTGTGGGATTAGCCACAAAAACAAAGCAGGACACTGCAGGGAGTTGAACCCCATCTTAGTAAACTTAGAGTCCATCAGCAGTGTATTCTTCTTTCATCTCCCTAACCCTAACATCTACTGTAGTTACTTTGCATCGTTGATGCTTAGAAATGTTTGACTTTAGTGAAACTAAATGGCAAGCAGTGTAACATCTCTGGTATCTCTGGTTCCTCTTTCTTTATCTGTTGAATGTACAGTAGTGAACAAGATTGAATTGAGTAATTGCAAATCATTAATCAACAATATGTCCAGTCATTTATAGGCTAGAAGTAATCACACCATACCCATGTGAATGTCACATCAACATTACATTAATAGTACAGCATTAAATGCATATATTGCACATGAGAGAAATGTAAATGCTCCGTACTTGTATAGCGCCTTTCTAGTATTTTCGACCACTCAAAGCGCTTTTATACTACATCTGCATTCACCAGTCACACACATTCATACACTGAGCCTAAGTGCTCAAACGGAAACTAACATTCACACTCACTCATACACTGGCGGAATAGCTGCCAGGGGTTCAGTATCTTGCCCAAGGACACTTCGACACGCAACCAGGGGGAGCCACAGCCGCCCCAACTATATGTGTACAGTTGTAACTGTTTATACAATGCTGAGCCATATTCATAGATTCATATATGTTTGAGCTAACAAAAAAATCAAAGCAAACATGCACATAACACAGATTATCACAAAAGAGGGAAAAGAAATTATAACCTAAATATAGCTCTTGAAGCAGTTCAACATATTTCATGATGACGATTCTTGGAATTTTTGTTATAGTTAAAATACACTTATTGTAAGTCACTTTGGATAAAAGCATCAGCTAAATAAATGTAATGTTAATAAATAGATGAACATTAGATGAACATTACTAATAATCATTTCTAGAGGCCACTTAGATTTACAGATCCCCTAGTGGCATCACCGAACACCCCAACCCACCAGTGGAGATCTTATAAAGTCACGTGATGTGTAGGCTACCTGTGTGTCCCATCTATAATACCAAATGGTAGCCTACATCCAGCCTCTCAGAATCATTTTGCCCTAAAACATTCTGAGTGAGCAGCATGAGTGGCAGTGATCCAGGAATTCGCCGACCCATAGTTACCTCCATAACTTCTGTTCCGGTTCATTCCTTTTTGACTTTCAGTGGCAGTAAACAAAGTGGAGGATTCATGCCAGTAGTGTCACTAAGAACAGATGCCAGTGGTCAACTGCAAAAGCCAATGCTAGAATAGCTGATGCTAGCATGGACCCAGAAGCAACATTAAGGTGAAAGAAACTTGAGAAAGTGGGACTGAGAGAAACATACAGTAAAAATGTGCCGTCCCCCCACTGCAGCTCAAGCCATGATTGGACAGTCTGTGACGGCCCCAAGATCTGAAGACTGTCATGGAAACTCAATCCTCACTATCTTCTTCAGAGAAGCATGCCTGCATTGAGACCGGCCAATAAAGGTACACCAAGGTATAAGGCTCCTGGTTGGAAAAGTAGAGTTTGCGTGCCTCTGTTTTGCGACAACTGCCTGCAGCAACCTGGCTGTGTTGCCAGGGCTGTAGTGCTGGGTTTAGGTATTGTTGGTGCCATCGGTTGTGTGCACTATGTTTCCTGGAGCGCTGGGCTGGGGGGTCAGTGCTCCTACCCACGATGACTGTTTCATGTGCTCCAATGCTCTTTTTGCCCCCGGCCCATACAACTGGTCTGGCACAACAGGAGGTTTTCTAATCCTCAGACATAGGCGCGTAGTGTTTCCACTTCTACTATATATATATATATATATATATATATATATATATATATATATATATATATCAGCAGAGGTGCATCACCACTGCTGAATGGGCTGTTAATGACTTTTACTCTCGCACTATGCAGTCACGGTAACATTCAACATTTGGCTTGCTCCCTCTTCTCATTCTCGAAAGGACATCTATATGAATGGTAAAGTTATAGAGTAGCATAACTCTTAAGGAACAGGGCAGTGCTCTGTGTGTGCATAGTGTTTGTTTGAGCAAGTGTTGGAGAGCGAGGGGCAGAGAGTGAGCAGAGTAAAAGGTTAGGAGGAAGTTTAAAATCTGTGTAATCTGGGTTAGTCTCCGACAGGGCTGCGCCTTGTCACCAAACCTGTGATATTCATGGACAGGTTATCGAGGCGTAGTCATCTGATCGCTGCTTTCTGTAGATGATGTGGTCCTGATGGCGTCATCGGTCTGTGACCTTCAGCACTCGCTGGGTCGGTTCGCAGCTGAGCGTGAAGTGGCCTGGATGAGGATTAGCTCCTCTAAATCTGAGGCCGTGGTTCTCAGCAGGAAACCGATGGAGTGCTCACTCAGGGTGGGGAATGAGTCCTTACCCCAAGTGAGGGTTGGTGAGAGTTCAAGTACCTCGGGGTCTTGTTCGCAAGTGAGGGGACAATGAGCGGGAGATTGGTCGGAGAATTGGAGCAGCTGTGGCGGTATTGCATTTGCTTTACCGCACCGTTGTGATGAAAAGAGAGCTGAATTTTCGTTCCTACCCTTGTGACTGAGTACAAGAAGCCGAAATGGTTTTTTTTCAGGAGGGAGCTGGCCTCTCCCTTAGAGACAGGATGAGAAGCCAAGTCATCCGTGAGGAACTCGGCAGGCCCACAAGGTGAGCAGCCGGTGCATTCTCCTGCCCATGCTTAGCTGAGACTGCATGCAGTGCCGCCCAGCTCAGTGCTCACAGAACTTCTGAGGGAAGTCTGAGCCATTTTTAGCCTCTGTGCTCACAGCCCAGACCTCCTTAAATGATCGTTCGGGCGATGGATCCTCCCAAATACACCTGCGCAGATCCTGAGAAACTGATTTTATCCCCATCCTCACCCAAATCATAGACCAATGCTTTAAACTGCTGGTGAGGGGGAGCTTGCATATTCTTTTGCGTTCTGGGTAGTGCGCTCATCCTGTTCCTGCCCCTGCACTTTGTAGAAACTCGTAGAAATGAGTTCTACTGCTGTTTGCTGTTAGATCTAGGGAGTCCAGACGAGAGTTGTGGACTGACCACTGCATGCATGTGGAACAATATTGAATAACTAGAAGAATTAAATAGCACATCAGTGTAGCTGGTGAGCAGCAAAGCACAAAGAAGTTAGAAAACCTCCAGACAGGAAATAAGCACAGGTAGGATAATTTATCAATGCCAGGCTAACAGCAAGAAGATCAAAGAAGCAGGATGTGAGCTACTACATGGTATTTATAGCTGGGAGGAGACATATCCACTTTGTTTACTGCCACTGGCATTCAGGAAGGAATGAAACAGTTTCAGGAATCCTGTGGGTCACCTGGACGTCCAAACAGGCACAGGGATCAGACAAAAATATATCCATATTAAGGTACACTAGAAATAGTTCACATATGATTCAAATTCATTAATTGGTGTAACAAAACCGTGTTACTATACAAATGTAGTCAAAGCTGTGTCATCACATTTGTGTCAGAGGTGTAGCTATTAAAACTTTGTGATTTTTACTCTTTACAGCTACAGCCGTTTGGGAAATTAAAAGACAGGTGTAAGTGTGACAAGTTAATTTCACATCCACTACAGCTAAAGGAAAACTGTTACTTTCAATTCAGCGTCTGTCGTTTTCAGTGACTGTGGCATTTGCCCCCTTCTCAAGCGACATAAGTAACGTAGTTCCGTTTTAGCTAGGCTAAACATTACATTTTATAAATGTATTTATTTAGCTGACACGGTTATCCAAAGTGACTTACAATTGCTATACATGTCAGTGGTCGCACTCCTGGAGCAACTAGGGGTTAAGTGTCTTTGTGGAATTTGAAATTAACAAGTACATTTGCTACCGTTATACTATTTTATATATAAATTGTGATGGCTTGTGTTCGCAAAATCTAAACAGGGTAATTAAGGGGATCATAATGCTACTGAAAGAGATTCTTGCAGGCAGTCACAGTGACCTCCCAGAGATGTTCTTATTTAGTCTTGACTCTTCTCAGCTGCATTGCACATGCCAACTCACAAACGCCCCCATTTAAAAAAAATGAATCAGGTTTAAGGGAAACAAATGACCTTTTTGGAAGGAATAACATTGCTGCCAGAGAACATCATCACTGACTCAGTCTTCCTATGGCATGCTTGTTCATGAATCAGTTATACTGCACTAATTAGCAGGATGGCTTACATAGATATGGCCTAAAAATAAAATCTCCGCTGATTTTTTCCGATACTTAAGGAAAGCAATAAGGTTTGTTGGTCAGTGCGGCTTTGTTCATCGCGGAGAGACTGGCATTTTTCATATTCGGCTGGATGTCTCTGTTTCAGGTGTTGGAATAGGTTTGTGGTGCTGCTGCCTTTCACTGCGATAGGCTTTAGGCAAATGTTGCAGCGTGGTGTCTGTTGTTCCACATCTGTCGCAGCAAACCCATACCAGTTCCAAACAACAGATGACTTTATTCCTTTCTTGGGAACAAACTACCGGTAGCCATTTTGTCGAGTGTATGATGTTGTCGCTATGGGAAACGAACACTACGGAAACTGTGCTATTACACAAAAACTCGAACTTATTTGCTTCGAATTAATTCATTCAATCGATTTTTCGCCCAGGCCTAGGCTTACAGAACATTTGCTGTGTAGTGGTTACTGTGTAATTGAATGTGCTCATTGAATCTCTTTTGAACGTGTATCAGATGGTGATAAGGGTCAAAATGCAGAAGTCACCTCTCCTGCAGCAGCCAAGAGCCCGCTGTCATCTGTCCAGGTGGTTCGGCCAAAGGAGCATTCAGTGATCTGTGCTGACACCCAGAGGAAGAACCAGGACCCGCAGGACGCGAAGACGGTGGAGTACGGAGCGACAGGGGGCAGGACTGACAGAGCCAGCAGTCTGTCTCCGGACACAGAGCGCCGCTGCAGCAGCAGGACTGAAGCCGGACTCAGAGACAGGGAGCGAGGACGTGACAGAGGGAAGCATCACAAGAAACATTCCCAGGGCAGAACTAAATCCAGAGGGGCCACGGGGGTCAAGACTCTGGAGGTCTTTGCAGACAAGCCCAGTGAACCCTCCGTTTCCTTTGATCAGGAGAGGGACAACATGCATGCTCTGGAGGTGACCCAGTACTTCTTCGAGGCAGTGTCGACGCAGATGGAGCACTGGTACGAGAGGAAGGTGGAAGAGGCTCGCTGGCAGGCCAATCAGAGGGCTCAGGCCGACAAAGCCGCTCTGATTGAGAGGATTACTTACCTGGAGGACGAGCTGCGTGTGCTGAGGGCTAACAAACATGACGACTGATTTGAATCATACCATTATGGAATACAGCTGTTCCATTTTTACAGATGCTATAAAATGCCTATTGGTTGTCATGGTAGCACTGGACTGGTATATTGAGATGTGTATATACACACATAAAGTAATAAGGGCAGGTTGTGTGCACTGTTTTGTAAATAAGCCAGAAGATACAAAGCTAGGCATTAAACGATTGATCTAATGTGCCATTCATAGGATATGTATACTACATCATATCCAACTGCACTGTGTGCAGTGTCTACACACACACATCTACACATTATAAGCCCAACCATACCATGAACAGAAAAACATGTGTAAACATCGTTCATTAACATCAGGCATAAATGTCTGCACGATGGTATCATGCTGGAATCAGCCCTGTGACTTTAGAGAAGAACCTACTGATTATTTATGAAAGCTAAACTGACACTGTATGTAACTTTACTGAACGTTTTTTTAAGAGTATCAGTGGTTGATTTTGCTGCATTGTATGATTTGTATGGAGGCTGGAGTATGCCCATAGAATAACTGTAGACGTTTAGTGTTTAAATATAATTTGTTAAAAAATTATTAAAAGTTTAATAAACACTCATTCATTTATATAAAACATTTGAAAAATATTTTATATTATAGTTCTTTGTTCTGGCTAAAACAATAAAATAGAATTTTAAAATGGAATAGCAAAATTAATTTTAAGTGAGTTTTAAAGATTAAAATTTTTACTTTTTGGTAGTCTGCTTTTCTTAATCCCGCTGGATTTCTGAACTGCCCCCTCCCGCAATGTGTTCCAGACCGCCCACAGCAACTGGCCACTCCCACGGGACCCCAATCCCACTGCAGTCCTGTAGGCCGACTTGTCTTTAATAACAACATTCTCCTTCTCAGCTTTTAAATATAACACTTTGATTAGATTTTTATAGATAATTTGGCTAAATGATTGTTCTGTTTGGTGCTGACGAGCCACCGTACCTTGTATGTGTATCCATGGCAAAGAACATGATTGGGTTCAGTTTAGTTTACAGAATAAGAGGACTTGATTAATGTCCGATCTCTTCACGTAGTGTTTATCCTTAAACTAGTTATTTCCAAACTGTGTGATCACTGACACATTTCTACAATTTTCATCCTGAAGTTTCTTTTTAAACCGCACCATTCCTGCGAGATTTGCATTTCATATACATCTAAAAATCGCTTTGATATTATTTTCAATGCAAAAAGACATGTTTAGTGGTTGATTAAAGAAGTATTCGCGGAAACTTGTAAAAGTATTTAGTCAGCCACTGATTGTGCAGGTTCTCCCACTTAGAAAGATGAGGTCTGTAATTTTCATCATAGGTACACTTCAACTGAGACAAAATGAGGAGAAAATAAATCCAGGCAATCAATCACATCGTAGGATTTTTTAAAGAATTTATTTGTAAATTATGGTGGAAAATAAGTATTTGGTCAATAAAAAAAAAAAAGTTGTTTGTTACTTTGTAACATAACCTTTGTTGGCAATGACAGAGGTCAAACGTTTCCTGTAAGTCTTCACCAGGTTTGCACACACTGTAGCTGGTATTTGGGCCCATTCCTCCATGCAGATCTCCTCTAGAGCAGTGATGTTTCGGGGCTGTCGCTGAGCAACACGGACTTTCAACTCCCTCCACAAATTTTCTATGGAGTTGAGGTCTGGAGACTGGCAAGCCCACTCCAGGACCTTCAAATGCTTTTTACGGAGCCAGTCCTTCGTTGCCTGAGCGGGGTGTTTGGGATCATAGTCATGCTGGAAGACCCGGCCACGTTCCATCTTCAAGGCTCTCACTGATGGGAGGAGGTTTTGGCTTAAAATCTCACGATACATTGCCCCCTTCATTCTTTCCTTAACGCGGATCAGTTTTCCTGTCCCCTTTGCAGAAAAACAGCCCCAAAGCATGAAGTTTCCTCTCCCATGCTTCAAAGTAGGTATGGTGTTCTTGGGATGCAACTCTGCATTCTTCTTCCTCCAAACACGACGAGTTGAGTTTTTACCGAAAAGTTCTATTTTGGTTTCATCTGACCACATGATATTCTCCCAGTCCTCTTCTGGATCATCCATATGCTCTCTGGCAAACTTCAGACGGGCCTGGACATGTACTGGCTTAAGCAGGGGGACACGCCTGGCACTGCAGGATTTGAGTCCCTCTCGGTGTAGTGTGTTACTGATGGTAGCCTTTGTTACTTTGGTCCCAGCTCTCTGCAGGTCTTTCATCAGGTCCCTCCGTGTAGTTCTGGGATTTTTGCTCACCGTTCTTATGATCATTTTGACCCCACGGGATGAGATCTTGTGTGGAGCCCCAGATCGAGGGAGATTATCAATGGTCTTGTATGTCTTCTATTTTCTTACAATTGCTCCCACAGTTGATTTCTTCACACCAACCTGCTTGCCTATTGTAGATTCACTCTTCCCAGCCTGGTGCAGGTCTACAATTTTCTTCCTGGTGTCCTTCGACAGCTCTTTGGTCTTGGCCATGGTTGAGTTTGGCGTCTGACTGTTTGAGGCTGTGGACAGGTGTCTTTTATACAGATAACGAGTTCAAACAGGTGCCATTAATCCAGGTAACGAGTGGAGGAAAGAAGAGCGTCTTAAAGAAGAAGTTACAGGTCTGTAAGAGCCAGAAATCTTGCTTGTTTGTGGGTGACCAAATACTTATTTTCCACCATAATTTACAAATAATTTCTTAAAAAATCCTACAATGTGATTTCCTGGATTTTTTTTTCTCATTTTGTCTCTCATAGTTGAAGTGTACCTATGATGAAAATTACAGACCTCTCTCATCTTTCTGAGTAGGAGAACTTGCACAATCAGTGGCTGACTAAATACTTTTTGGCCCCACTGTATATGTTTAGACTGCTTTGCTTCCCTCAATCTTTACCAACTAACTTCAATAATTTCTTCATCTAAACCATCAACCTGCCTCTTAGACCCCATCCTGTCTAGGCTGCTTAAAGACGTTTTACCCTTAGTCAGCACTAGATATGATCAATCTATCTTTATCAACAGGCTATGTACCACAGTACTTTAAAGTAGCTGTTATTAAACCTCTTCTGAAAAAGCCCAAACTTGATCCAGATGTTTTAGCCAACTATAGACCTATATCTAACCTTCCATTTCTCTCTAAGGTTCTGGAGAAAGCAGTTGCTAAACAGCTGTGTGCTCTTTCTACAGAGCAATAGTTTATTTGAGGATTTTCAGTCAGGATTTAGAGCTCATCATAGCACAGAGACAGCACTGGTGAAAATTACTAACGACCTCCTTATTGCATCAGACAAAGGACTTGTCTCTGTACTGGTTTTATTAGATCTTAGTGCTGCATTTGATACCATTGACCATCAGATCCTATTGCAGAGACTGGAACATTTCATTGGAATTAAAGGAACCGCTCTAAGCTGGTTTAAGTCCTATTTATCAGATCGATTTCAGTTTGTACATGTTAACGATGAGTCCTCCATGCACGCCAAAGTTAGTCATGGAGTTCCACAAGGATCTGTCCTCGGACCAATCCTCTGTCTTTATATATGCTTCCTTTAGGCAATATTATCAGGAAACATTCCATAAGCTTTCATTGTTATGCAGATGATACTCAGTTATATCTATCGATCAAGCCAGATGAAACTCATCAGTTAGCTAAACTTCAAATGTGCCTTCAGGATGTTAAAACCTGGATGACCTGTAATTTTCTAATGTTAAACTCAGATAAAACTGAAGTTATTGCTCTGGGGCCTAAGCACCTCCGTGACGCATTATCTAAAGATATAGTTTCCCTTGATGGCAGTGCCCTGGCCTCCAGCACCACTGTGAGGAATCTTGGAGTTATCTTTGATCAGGACATGTCGTTTAAGTCTCACATTAAGCAAATTTCAAGGACCGCCTTTTTTCACCTACGTAATATTGCGAAAATCAGGAACATCCTGTCTAAAAATGATGCAGAAAAACTAGTCCATGCATTTGTTACTTCTAGGCTGGATTACTGCAATTCCTTATTATCAGGCTGCTCGAAAAAGTCCATTAAGACTCTTCAGCTGATCCAGAATTCTGCAGCTCGTGTTCTGACAGGAACCAGGAAAAGTGATCATATTTCTCCTGTTTTAGTTTCTTTGCATTGGCTTCCAGTAAAATCCAGAATATAATTTAAAATCATTCTTCTTACCTACAAAGCTCTTAATGGTCAGGCACCATCTTATCTTAAAGAGCTCATAGTACCTTACTACCCCACCAGAGCACTGCGCTCCCAGAATGCAGGGTTACTTGGGGTTCCTAGAGTCTCCAAAAGTAGACTAGGAGCCAGAGCGTTCAGCTATCAAGCTCCTCTCCTGTGGAACCAGGTTCCAGTTTGGGTTCAGGAGGCAGACACCATCTCCACATTTAAGAGTAGGCTTAAGACTTTCCTCTTTGATAAAGCTTATAGTTAGGGCTGGCTCAGGTAGTCCTGAACCATCCCTTAGTTATGCTGCTATAGGCCTAAGACTGCCGGGGGATTTCCCATGATGCACTGAGCTCCTCTCTCCTCTACTTTCTCTACCTCTGTATGCAACCTCATCCCATTATTGCATGTTACTAACACAACTTCTCCCCTTTCTGGTAGTCTTGTGCTTTCTCGTCCCTCTCCTCTCTCCTCCTATCAATTCCTGCAGGTTTTCTGGCTCTGGAGCTGTGGAGTCACCTGCTTCCCCCGTGTTCCTGCTCGACACCCTCTGCTACAATTATTGTTACTATAATCATTAACATGACGATTATTATCATTAACACTACTATAAATATCTATACCATTTTTCATTTAGGCTATAGCAACATCACCTTTCTTGTCTGTACCTCTGTGTATCTGTGTAGGCTGCCTCCCTCCTCTATCTTTCTCTCTGTTCCTCTCCTGCCCTCTCTCTCTCTGTTCCTCTCTCTCTCTCTCTCTCTCTCTGTTCCTCTCTCTCTCTCTCTCTCTCTCTCTCCTTCACCCCAACCGGTCGAGGCAGATGGCCGCCCACCCTGAGCCATGGTTCTGCTCGAGGTTTCTGCCTCTTAAAAGGAAGTTTTTCCTTGCCTCTGTCTCCTAGTGCTGCTCTTGGTGGGAACTGTTGGGCTTCTGTAAATAACATCACAGAGTACGGTCTAGACCTGCTCTTTTATGAAAAGCGCTGTGAGATAACTGTTGTTGTGATTTGGCGCTATATAAATAAAATTTAATTGAATATTCCGTTGGCACACTCCAGACTCCAGATTTGAAATTAGAAGCATATAAGCAAGTTTCAAACCAATAACATGTCACTTTAAAGCTAGGGGGGAGGGGAGGGAGGTAGAATTTATTTTCAGTTGGATACTTTAAAAATCTAGCTGTCTCTTGCTGGTTTCTCTAACGTACACCAGCCTTACTTATAACTCAGTCAAAGAATCTGCTCTGACACATCCATCCTCCCACTGCAGGTCTGGTGGTTTCTACAGGCCCTCTGGTTAAGTGTGCAGTGGATAGTAGCAGTGCTGGAGTGAGTGTGTGAGTGGAACAATTCACTGACATGGCCAGTAAGAGGTGATGCGAAACTCCGCAGTAATGTGTAATTTGTATGTGTCCATTCTTCCTGTTTTGTGCTAAACCAGCAGAGGATCTCTACTACAGTCGACACTAGAGCTGCAACAACTAGTTTATTGAAGGAAAATCAATTATTCTGATAATCAATTGATCACTTTCTTAAAGCAAAATCCCCAACCCTCTGATTCCAGCTCTCTACTTTGTATCATTTTCACTGTTCTCTATAGTTTTATATATTTGTTGCAGCTCTAGTCGACACCAAATAAACCAGGTCCTGATCCTGAACAGCTGACTACGTATAAACTTGTCTCCCAGAATGCCAGTGCCCAGTCAATTACGTCTACCTGTAAAGGACAGTTGTGATCTTGATGCATGAAGAAACCTCAGAGTTGTATTGCAGTATTACTCTCTGCTATGTGTTTAATGTAGTGCTAATACAGCTTGGTTTAGTTTTATATGTATAACTGGATATGAATAATGTTCTCTGTATGATGATGCCAGAAAACATATTTTGGATTATGAAAATGATCATTATGAAATTGTCTTAAGTTTCATTAGTTCATGTTTAATATGTATAAAATACAGCACAAACAAAAGTCTTGCAGACGGGCTCAGTTAGCCTCACAAGTTGCCAGGTTTCCATCATCATGGAACAAAAATCCTACCCACTGTATTGTGAGCAGCAGCACAGGAGGTTTGCAGGATGATGACTTCAGGTCAGTTCCATAAATCCATTCTTCAAAAGGTGTCCAACCAAAGACGGGTCGCAATACATTCTGCATTGTTCACTTAAAATGACACGACCCTGATCAGAGGTCTCCACCAACAGTCAGTCCAGATCAGTCTACAGTCTCACAGTATTTAACTCCTGGCCAACGCCAGAGACTTCTGCAGCTCCTCCAGATGGTTGTTAGCTTGTGTGACCATCATACGGATGGCATCCTGAATGAAAGAGAGGAAAAGCAGCAGTAATGGACAAATCAGAGGATGCTGAGAAAAAAAATACAAAGGGTCTCATTCACTAATGTGTGCAAAGAAATGTTCTTGTATTGTGAGAAACTGCACACAAAATTAGCATTTGATTCATGAAGCACCGGCCAGTTCAGTGCAGTTATTAGCCACTACAGCTACTGCAGTGTTTCCCCTATATTCATTCTGCAGCAGCAACACACAACACATGGCTAGCTCCCATTCTGTGTTACTGTGTTTGTGTAGTGAGTAGCAGTAAGTGATGGTGAAAGCTTTTCCAACTTTTTGTACACAGATGTAATAATGGTCCTCAACCTTGTGAAATAGCATATTTCGTTTTAGGGGAAACACTGCTACAGCCAGGCTGGATTTAGCACTTCCAGATACCCTGATTAACGTACCTCTGTTGTGAGTAGTAGTCAGAAACTCTTTACTTGTACCAGCAGACATGGCAGGGCAGTTATAGGTGATCTGGCTATGTAAAGGAGAGGCAAGTTCATATCTCTTTACCTGATCTGTGGCGTTCTTATTCCTCTTGAACTCGTCTCTTGCCCAGTCTCTGAGGTACTTCCTGTCTCCCTCATCTGGTACCTGTCGTATGGTCCTCAGAATGTTTCTGTAAATCCCCAAAACCCTCTGTCTCTGTAAAAACTGACAAAGAATCAGCAGTTTAGACCCAACCGGACAGTTAGATACATTTAGGAATGATCTAAAATTTGGACCAAGAAGATTACAGGCTCGAACAGAGCCTGATTATGAAGAGAATATTAACATTCAGTGCATTTTGCATGCCGAGTGAATTGTAATTCTGAAGTTCCAGAATTACAATTCTATCCGCAAATGGGCCTAAGTGCCCCTTTCTCAAACCTCTTTGATAGACAGGATGACTTAATGGCATTGTTCAATTATATTTTTTAGTAGTTTTGGATGGTTTCCACTTATACTACTGCCATTTGGAGTGATGGAAACTGGTTGCTTCAACCACTTACAGTAATTTCACTTTAAGTTTTTTCTCTTACTAGTCTTTCGCAGTCTTAATCAACAACTATTATGAGTAAAATCATAATCCATCGTGAAGCTATGCTCAGCTTGCTCGCTCGCTCTCTCACAAACACACTGAAACGAAGCCGTGTGTATAGGTATAGAAAAACTAAAGCATTCAAGTTAACTCTTAGAATTTAGTCTATTTTCTTAACACAACGCTGTCAATGTAGGGGACATTAAAAAAATTATTGTCACAATATAACAAGTTGTAGAGTGAAATTGAGTTTGTACCTCCCTTCTGCTACATAGCCGACAATATACATTAATAGAGAATCAATTATGAAAGATGGCTACCAGAAATAAAGTATCATCAGTGGAGCAGTGCTGAGGATGAATTAGAGTTTAAGAGTCTGACAGCTTGGGGTAAAAAGCTGCTCTGCAGGCTGGTGGTGCGGCAGCAGAAACTTCTCTCTCTCTTCCCAGAAGGCAGCAGGGTGAACAGGCTGTGGCTGGGTGGGTACTGTCCTTTAGTGTCCTTTGGGCTCTGCAGACACCTCACCTCACCGATATTACTGATGCTCGGGAGATGGGTAGTTTTAATCACCCGCTGCAGAGCCCTCCGGTCCTGGGCCGTGCACATCCCATGTTAGTGACGTTTCCAGTCAGGATGATTCTATTGCTCCTCTGTAAAAGTTAATAAAAACTTGGCATTTAGCCTTCTTAAGTTTCCTTAAGAAATATAGTCATTTCTGCCCTCCAGGCAGTCAGTGGACAGAAAGTTGTTACTGTGATGTAGAGACAGAGCTCAGTTAAAACTTTATGGATGAAAGATACTTTTGTTACAGATTAATAAATCACCCCTCTGAAAATCTTGCTCCAGTCCATGCTGCCAAGCTGATAAGGGGAACGTATACAAGGGGGTAAGCCAGAGTTGGAACAGTGAAGCCAACCAAAGCCTGTATGGAGGGCTCCATGTAGGCCCAAAAATGACGTCAAATCCCTGTGACAGCCCGTCGCACATGAGATATAACCGTATTGCTTAGATGATAAACTTTTGGCAATCTAAAAACATTCGGCCATCAGTGACGCTGCGTTGGTGTTTGGTAGGTGAGCCTTGTAGGTGGGCTGATTAAACAGAGACGAGCTGCCTCAAACACACTGAGCCATGAAACTTTTTGTTGGCGCAGCTATCAGAATTACTGTTTCTGCAGTTGCTCTACGTCATTAAACCACGGTCATGTGCAGTAGATGCTGGTGCCAACAGGAAGTGGCCCTGTAGTATTTTATTGGTCCAAAACCAGCTTCGCTGCTCTCCATTCAAATCAGTGGGGTGGCTTCGTCCAGTAATATACTGTCTATGAACGTATAGTGGCTTTTCAGGACCCGCCCTTCTCTGCTTCTGATTGGCTAGTAATCCTTAACTATGAACTGCACATGTACAAATCCCAACAACGATCTTTAAGAAGTGAGAAGTATCACTCCATAGCTAAAACGAAGGCTTCAACACAGGGTGAAAAGAGGAGCTGCAGCAATGTGCAGTATGACAAAAAATATGGTGTTTTTTGAAAATGAAACCATGTATAGGTTTACATGGTACAACCCCTAAATAAAATGATGAATGTGAAAATCTGCATAATATGACCTCTTTAAGTAAAATTAATTTAATAAAAAGCAATTAACTGAGAAGTTATCAGAGCAGAATCCAGTCTGAATGCAGGTGTCCAAAAGCTCTGGTGTCGCCCCAGCTCTCTCCTCCAGAGCTCCCTGTAGCTCAGCAGCTGTTGACGAGCAGAGACTCTGCCCCCCCTCTCTGCATCTTTGCATTGACTTTGAATGTAATCATGCTGCGCCCGATGCTCACCTTGCGTTTGGTCTGAATACTAAAGTAACTTAACTACCCCTCACAGCATGCACCACAACAAACCTGCTAAATCTCATATTAGGGTCCAGGTTAACCAAAGGGGGGCTTGTAGCTTTTTGCAGCTCAGTAATGTAAAGCTGTTGTTGTAAAGTCCCCTTTTGCCATATAGTGACTATTCTTATTGGGGATCCAAGTCCGAGCGGTCTGGGGGGCATGCATGCAGGGCAGTGTGGCGGTGCAGTAAACCTTACTGAAATCGCTCCAATATTGTTTCCTTCTCTTTGTAAAAGTCATACTGCAGTCTAAACTGAAAAAGTTATGTAAGTGAAATTCACAGGGTGGTTTAGAATGATGCACACACGGCCGACGCCAAAAAGTATGTCCACCAGCAGGTGGCGCTATAATCAAGATAAACGCATTGTGGCCTGCAACTCCCACATAGTATGTCTGACATTCAAAAACCTGATGCAAGAGTTCTGTGAATGATACACGCCCATCTCCACCTAGCCTTTTATTTTTTTTAATTTTTTTAAATTGCACAATCTTGGCACGGTGGCCTCAGTGCAAGAAGGTGCATCAAGAACATGTTAGGTTCTCCAGTCAGTGCCACTGGCACAGATCTGGAGGTGGTTCCTGTGGCCCAGTGGCTGCCCACTGCTCGCTTGAGGTGTTTTTTTTTCACTGCATGTCTGTGTAAGTGACAATAAAGTACCTTAAAAAAAAATGTGAAACCTTTGTCAAAGATGTGATAGTAGCTCATTACAATACCTGCATCTGAGAACAAGACACACATACTTTAAATCAATAACATTTAAGCTAAATTATAAATAAATGTTGGCTCTCTGCAGTGCCATTAGCTGGATTTTCTCAGTCACTTTTCAGCCTGTCATACCTTAAAGGACTGACTGACTGTTTCATACCCAGCGCTGCTAGGATTTTGCTATTGAAGTGATGGGGACATAAGGACTCAGTTTAGGGGTGTAACCATACACAATTTAGGGGTCACAAGAAGACTATTTTACAGAAATAGTCAATGCTGAGATATGAGTGGGGGGTCCTCCCCCTGAAGAAATTTTCTTCACCGATGCACATTTATTTACATTGCAGGTCTTCTTTTTGTGTTGTTTCCATGTCTCTGCAATGGACAAATCTAAACACTGCTCTGTCATTAACCTGTAAATGTAACAAGACAGGTTGGACACTTGTGGGACCTTTTACCTTAAGCCCTCAATGTTAAGATACTTTGGACTCGTTTAATATCGGTTTTGACTTAAGCCGCAGTTATTACATTCATGCCAATAAAGCTAATTTGAATTGGAGAGAGAGCGAGAGCGAGAGAGAGAGAGAGAGAGAGCTAGCTTGCTAACCACTGTGGTCCTAACTCAAGTTCTAACCTTCATGTAAAACAGAGGAGAAACACATAACTGAGCGCATTAACTGTTTAAACATTTGAACCCTGTTACTTCACTCTGACGTTGCACTGGACAGAGGTGCAAAAAGCCAACAGACGTTCTTGAACTGTAAAAATGATTAATGATGGACAAACAGATCCGTCAAAGTCTAGCTAGCAGTACAGATGTAGCGTTCGCTAACAGCGCTAGCATACCGGATGTGTTTCTTAGGTCTTGTCAACCAATTCAGGTTTTGGCGATAAACATTTCCTTCCACTGTTGTGTAGATTTACCTGTTTTAAAGAAAGGGCTGCCTGCGGGAACCTTGAAACCGCCATCTCTAGCAGTGTCTGTCAGCCTTCTTCTTCTTTGGTTTTATGGCAACTTGCAACCCTGACTTTTCAAGGTGCATACCGCCACCTACTGTACCGGAGAACATAGCATGAACTATGTTTGTTGGGACTACTTTAAATTATCAAAAATAATTAAATAAATACATAAACAAATAAAGATAAACACAAATCCTAAATCCTATCATATATCCCTATATTTTTCAGATGTTGTATAACAGCTTTCTTGTTTGTGAGCCTCATAGGCAGGGGACATTTATACTGTCCTATTGACTTTGTCTCCCCCTGGTGGAGCGGAGGACAGCAGTCTGTAAAAGACCCTTTCCACAGCAGACATCTTGCCACACTGTAGCTGGATATTTAAGTTACATTTAATAATGACATTGCTTTTACGCTAAACAAGGTCCATAGTCATCCTACTAAGCAACCTAGTCATCATTAATGTTATATTACTTGTCCTGGGGGCGTAGGACTCCCATACCCATCAACCCTCCCGTTCTACCCAGATTCTCCCGTATTTTTAAACTTTCAAAAACCATATTTTCAGTGCTTGAACTGGCTTGAAAATGGGGGCCGAGTATACTGAGCCCTCGCCTAAAGATGGCCCATAAAGACAAAAGAATAGCTGTGGCTGCAGGGAGGGGCCCACAGAGAATGCTGGAGTACAGGATCCTGAATTTTGTTCTTTACCCTCTATTACTTTATTTGTTCCATGCCATCCATGGGAACTACAGTAGGATTTACTACACAAAATGATATGTGCCTTCTTAATAAAAATAGAAGGTGTTCACTGAGTGGATAGGACAAATTGCTTTTGTCAGAAATATATACTGTGCATGATGAACATTCAGCAGGTTAAACTTTGCTTCATCGTTTTGTGCTTGCAGAGTTGAGCCTGAAACAAGATTTTTTTCCCCTTTCCACATAAAATGGCTTAAAAGTGTATTATTTGAACATAAAAACTACCATATTGGTATTAAAATTGGTATCACAAAATAGCTTAAGGATTTTCTTGAAAATGTCTGAAAAGGTGAGCACAGGCCGAGCAACCCTGTAAACTGTTTATTGTCAGGATCATTCATCTCATGGTTTAACAGACGGATGCAATGAAGAAACAACCTCTTAATATGACAGATGTCTGCTTACATGTAAGTCCACGTTTCAAAACAGATGTGATAAACATTTCAATGCACATTTTATCAACACCTCATAACGGATAGTGTTGAGCGCTGAGCTCTCATTTAGCAGAAGTCACACGGTGTGATTGGCAGATGAACACTGCAAATTTGTGTCTTTAAACCAGTAAAAGAAATTCTGAACTGGAATTTGCAGTCAGTGTGCTTCAAAGTGCATGAGAGCGGTGACCGTGCCTCTGACCCATCACCCCGACAGCTCACTCAGGTGTGACGTGAGAGTCAATGCACTTGTCCTCTCCAAGGCACATTTTTGAGATCCTTCAAATGTCAGTCGTGACCACACCCACATGCTACTGTTAGGTCATGAAGTTAGGAATGGTTCTGTGAAAACTGCTCCGTCTGCTCTACATCTGTTGCTGTTCACATTGATGATCAATGATTTGATGGCTCTCGTAGCACTGACTAAAACATCCACACAAACATGATGTCAGGGATTATAGTACAAGGGGGACAGAGGTATTTACTGACTCTTCACTGATGTGTTTCACACCTAAGGGAATCACATTTTTGTTTTTATCATTTCATCTCAGACGTGCAAGTTAAAGCAATCCTCGTTACATTACAAAAGAAATAATAATTCCCCTGATAACAAGGACAAAACAGCCAAGGGTGCTATCAAACTACTAAAATCTACAGTAAAATAAGAAAATAAAGGCACATGTACAGCGGCAAATCCATTTTTTTCCGTTGAGGCTGGGAGGCTAGCAGCAGAGTGGCATTGTGCAGTTGGTTGCTGCCCACTCCTCCCTTCCTGTGAAAGATGGAGTCCCATTGGTCTACAGGTCGGCTGCCGTGACGAGTTCAAACCACTGTCTGAGAGCGTCACTCAGGGTCTCCGGCAAGGCATTGACATCTCGCAGGATGACGTAGAAGGGGAAGGGGAACTCTTCCATGTAGGAACGTATCTCTGGTAGTTCTCCGGGCCCTTTGAATATGGGTACCTTGATGTCCAGGATGGAGTCCTGCAGCACAGCACCAGTGTTTAAATTCACATTGCATCTGGAGACTTGGAAAATAAAAAAGGTCACATTCTTCTTCACTTACCCGTGAGTTGGGGTTGTCGAGCACCATGAAAATGACAAACACATTTGCGCTGCGTGCTGTGCGCACAGCTGCCATCACCCGCTCCTTCCCTTCCAGGAATAAGCCCCTGCCGTCAGAAATGATGACCAGCAGCTGGGCTGTCTCTGTGGAGGGAGGTCAGAGCGGAATATCACAAGATGAGACTAGTAATGCCGTACACTTCTACTTCACTGCAGCAAGGTGAGACGTTCAATCACTGCAGGTCAGTGAAACCAGCCTGCTTCCCTGTTCTCTCTAAGTTAGAGTGTTAAGTCAACACTAGAGGTTTAGTAACTACTAGTTAGTTTGTAACCAAACCAGCTACTATAACTGCTTGCATTACAATTACTTGGTGCAGGTTCTTCCCATGTCTAAGGGAAGTGGCCAATCAACGATCGAAGATAGTCCCATTGATATGGTTACTTTTGAAGTAGTCAAACCAGTGGCGGTCTGGCCATCTGGAATACTGGGACAATTCCCAGTGGGCCGCCTTCCTTAGCTTTTACTTTTTTTTTTACTGATGGAAAAGTTGGCAGAAGGTTGAGCGACACGTGCCAACCCCACTTCTCTCCAGACCTACTGGTCTGTTCCATATGAACGTCTACGCAGCCCTTACTACCAAATGCTAAGACCAGGAAGAGGAAGATGCAACAGCCTGTTCACGGGTATAAGATTAGACAGAGGACAGCAAAGCCAGAGATAATGCAACTGAATGCTGTTAATACAACATGTTATCAGAATCGATCAGTGAAATGCAAACGCTGTTGGTCAGCTACTGTTTTATAAGTGTACCAGGAAGAAAGAACTGAGGTAAAGAGTACAGTAACCGTGTGTTTAAACAAGCTGGTGGAAAAACTCTAATCTGATGCCTAACGTTAGTAAAGCTCTGAATGTCTACATTTGGCTGTCCTGTGGGGATTGTGTGTGAAATAAATCACTTCAGTATCAGTGATTTACTGTCCTGTAATTTTATTTTGCTAAAATAAGCAATTTCATTTGTTTTTTACTTTTTTTGCCTTTTCATTCTACATATAAATGTTTTAGACATTTACATTTGTTAATTAGCTCATTTTATTTAATGTCTGCCATTGGTTGCAAATAGTAGCCTATACATATAAAACCAATCAATCCTTTCCTTCTCAAATTCATATTTTGTGTGGGAGACTGTCTTCAGTGATTTGCTTGATATGATGCCCATCTCTTACAAGACAACACACACACACACACACACACACACACACACACCAGTTCACATGTTCATCACCATGCAACACGGTCACATGATGGTTCCGACTCTTATGTTCCTATTCAAGCTGTACTGGCCCAAACACTTTGCTTGTAGCCCAGAAAAAACAGCGAGGGGCCAAGAATTTCACTTTCACTACCAAACTGCACAGCGTACACTTACTGAGCTGGCAACTCTGTTTGACACTTACATATGCAGTGTGAGCCATTACCTGAGTTCATAGATCCTGGAATCTGCTGTCGTGCTGCTACAAACATTTTTGTTGAGGTCTCCAAAAACTACAGAGGAGAGGCATGAAGAGAGGGTCAGTCTGACAGGATACATGCCCTTTAACATCCGTCATCACATAAAAGGAAATTCAGATCAAGAAATACGAATTTGGGAAACAAAATGTTTAATGAGAAATACTTTTTAAACATGCTACAAAGCTAACACTGCATACAGACCTGTGATTGACATAATGGATTCCTGTTTTATCAGCTGTAGCATTAAATGGTTTTGATTCATTACTTGCAGCATCACTCTTCTCTTCACCATTAAGGAAAACCTTCTGTCTGTTTGTTTCCGTCTTATATAAAGCACTCTCTTCATGGATACATAGATCTATCAGATTAATCAAAACTTAGCAAAGCTTGTTAAGTGTAATATTACTAATATAACTCAGGAATAACACATAATATACCCTGACTAATGGCTTCTACCACCATACAGAATACACACATTAATAATTCATGCTTCATGGTTAAAGTGAAAGAAAATAAAAGCTCCCACCTGTGCTATTCTAGTCTTCTTCTGCTGGAACTGACAGAGTCTGAGTACCCGAGCTCCTGACTCGCTGTTGAACTGCTGCTGGAAGGGGTGGAGCAGCTGCACCTGCTCGCCAAAACTGGACACATGAGCAGGCGTTAAATGTTAACTTCACTTTAAATACATGGTTACACAGTCTGATATCACAAGCTGCACAATTCAGTGTATTAAATCTTTTTGATACTTAGCTCTATAATTGTATCTGCACAATATGTTCTTCTTTTCTATCTTTATTGCATCACACTGTACATGCATCACCTTACCTGCACAGAGACACCTGTCCGACCTCCAGCAGAGTGAGAGCATTGATGATCACTGACAAGGATTCGAACGCCAGCTGCAGCACACAGACAGGACACAGCAGTAGTTTATTTGTGTGTGTGTGTGTGTGTGTGTGTGTGTGTGTGTGTGTGTGTGTGTGTGTGTGTGTGTGTGTGTGTGTGTGTGTGTGTGTGTGTGTGTGTGTGTGTGTGTGTGTGTGTGTGTGTGTATGTGTATATAAATAAATAACTTTATCTAATTATTAATCTCCTACCAAAGACATTAGCACAGTGCAAAGAATGAAAGGACTTTCCCAGCCAATGAGAAGTGATCATGATTTGTTTCATTCATTTGTTTCTTCTTTCTTTAATTGACCGTTGTGACTGTGTACATGCCATAGGAAGAGCTATACAAGCTGCTTGTAGGGTTACATAACAGGACACTTCTTACCTGTTTGGAGTGGTTATCCACCATG